TTTGAATAATTTATGTGTTAAACATTGTAAAATGATCAGCTCAGTGAACAAAATCTACAAAAAAACAGTGCAACAGCAGTTTTAATGGGTTTTAAAGTAGCATTTTTGCTTGTTTATAATGACATGCAAATAATGTTGTAAGGGACAAAAAAATTGAGATTTGAGCTAAGCTACTTATTTTAAAAATATTTCCCCCAAAACTAAATGTTATTTTATCAGTGTTTTGAAATTATATTTTAGCATTCATAGCAATAGCATTCGAAAGAAAATAGTTGTCAAGCCACTTATCTCAGAATCTAGTAAAGAATTTACATTTTTTCAATTACACAGCAGTGTAGTAATAATAAACAAAAGCTTAGAAATTCAGTTTTTTTAAAAAAAAAATTTTTATGTGGCAGTCATAAACCATCACCTTTTTTTCCTTCATAATTTAACAGATTTTACTATCTTTTTCCCACTTTTGCAACAAAATCTCAACTTGTATTTCATGTTTAGTGAAATGTGAAAGCAAATCTGGTAAACTATTATGAAAAATACTTATTTTAAAAAGGCAAACATTCGAAATACAAATTAAAAAAGCCAGAAATCTTGCTGTCTTAGGAATAACTCAAGGGGAAAAAAAAATTTGTTTAAAAACTAAGCAAATATTTTCCTCACCTTTTTAAGAAAAAAAAAGTGAAAATATACTTTCTAAATTGTTCTTATAGCCCACTTATAATTTTAGGCCAGAGTTAAAGGAGATAATTTTGGTAATTACAAATTATAGTTTGAAAAAAGTTAATCGAAACATACAATTGTGAAAATTTTACCACAGGAACAATAGGTATTTATTGAGATAATGTGGAGTTAAAATAATTTATATTTGTCGTCTTTTATGGCTAGCATACAACTATATTAACACACAAGTTTTATTGATTACAACTGCAGTTTTCAAAGATAACAATTTCAAATTTTTATGATAAGATGAATATACAATTATGTTTATCAAGCAACGAGAAGAAAGTAAAATAATTTTTAATTGCTTCCTAAACAATTTTTCTTTTTAAAGAACGTATTAAATTTATTAAAATTAAATTGTATCTAAGAGAGGTGTACAATACCTATCAAATAATTATTTTTTATTACTTTGTGTATTTTATTGGAATAATGAAGATCATGGAACAAGATTAAAATTAGAAGATGATATAAAATAATGAAGGATTTGAGAAACGTAGTGCAAAAGTGTTTACTTTGAAGCTAGTTGGTTACAACTAGCTAGTCTAATCAGTTGATTAGAAAAGTCATCAAATAATTGCAATGAAGAATAATAAAAAGCTTTGATCGAGTGCCTATGGTAACGATTTTGTCGTACATAGGATCTTACATCTGTAACTCTGAGGGGTTTTATTCAATTTATGACTACCCTGTAAAAAATGATTACAAAATAAAAAGAAAACACTATTTTTTACAGAAAGAGCAGAAGAAAGCAATATCACAGTTACAAAAAAATTTAAGAAAGAAGAATAAATGTGCAAGCTAATAATAATTAAGCATCGATTATATTTGGAAAAATAATGCTGGTTGTAAACTTATCTTTGCAATAGTGTAACACTGACAATTTAAAATGTTATAAGCTACTGAAATTTAAAGAACATATACATCACAAAAATACAACTATTAGATCATATTTTTTAAAAACATAATAGATATTTCATTTCATATTTAAAAAAAGAAATTAAATTTATAGAGTTGACTCATCCAAATGCAAGACTTAGTCTAGGTTTTTCATTTGAAATTTTATGTGAAAGCGAAGTAAAAGTTATCATTTCCTGCTTTCCTACAGTGCAAATGATAACTTATGTTCAACATTTTCTTTTTAATGTGAAAAAAAAACCATGTTCATAAAGCTTTACAATTGAAAAACTGAATAGAAGAGCAAAATATTTCATTTTAACAGAAAAAAAACATTTTTTTAAAGAAAAGCAGGAGGTAAAAGAAAAATTGGATTTTTTTTCCAATTATATTTTACACAAAGAATATCAGCTTTTCAATTAAAAGAATAAAATAAATGGGTTACATGGTGAAGACTGATTATCAATTATCAAGGCATATAAATTTCTTTATTGTAAAGTAATTTCACAATATAAGTACATTTATAAATATAAATAAAGTTATGGTTATAGAAAAAATGCAAACCAAGTTTTGTGTTTTAAAATAAAATACTGACATAATTGAATGAAGAAATTAAAATCTGAAGCACTTAATATAATAAACTTTATCAACAACAGTAAATAAACTATATCAACAGCAATTTGTAAAATAAATAGGTATAAAATCTTAAGCTTTGGCAATAATAATAAATAAATAAATAAAGGAAGAAATTGTCAAAAATGAAAAAAATAACATAAATTAAAATAGAAATAGAATAGAATAATAGATAGAATAGAATAAAAATTCAAATTAAAAGCTACATAAAAATTAGAAACAAACTTGAGAAGAAATAAATATGTTTCTACAACAGCATATCACAACAAAAATTGGTTTGATAAAATTAAGTTTTAATTAAAAATAGGAAAAAGGAAAGCAATGAGAAAAAGCAAACAAGGTTTTTCCATCTTAAAAATAATAATATAAATGCTAAACAAAAATATACTAAAAACATTTTTAATGAGATTCAATACTACATTATTGTAAAACTCTAAAAGTAAACAAAAAAAAAGTTTTTAAAATAGGAATCTATAATGTAAACAACAAAATAACTAAAATATTGCACAAAATTAAGATAAATGAAAAACCAAATAAAATGACTGTGCTATGAAAAAACAAAATGAATTACGATGATCAGTATTCTCTTATCACTGGCCTGTAACACAAAAAAAATTATCGAATCAAGAATTTTGAGCATTGTAAAAAGTATACAATATAAAATTTATTATGCTCTCAGACATTTCAAAGATTTGGTTTCATGGATTCAAGATTTCTATAAGTTCACCTATAAATCCTGGATTTGCAAAGTTAGTTTTAAAGTGTAACATATATTCGAAATTATGAATTCAAGTTCAGTAGTCTCCGCTTAATGTAGTCCATTTGGAACAATAATTTTGGTAACATTGACTAACTGATAACGAGAAACTAATAACGAAATTAGAGAAACTTAACAATTCAAACCACACGTGTAGAGTTGGAAAAAAAAAACAACCTCACCTCATGTTTATGTACAGTATATTGCTTGTGATCAAATCTAGAGCTTTATCACTCATATAATGAACTTGACATTATTAACTTTATTAAACGACAAATAATAAAATGGGCAGGCTACGCTATCAGAATGGACGAAGTTCGTACCACAAAAACTTTTTTCAATGCCAGACCAGTTGGCACACGAAAATTGGGCGTACCGAATTTAAGATGGATAGATGGCCTAGAAAAAAGTTCTTGAGAAAGCCAAGGCCCACCCCGGACTGTCATACCATTGATGATAATATTGCTTATAAAATGTATAAATTATACATAGTTGTAAAAAACACCCTTTGTTGATTGTCTGCGATTTTTCCTAAGATGATCATTCAAAAATGGTTTCTAATCATGATTTTTGAAGTCATCAGAACTGCATTGTACTCCAACTTTTTATTGCATTCCTCATTTTCGGTAATCTATCGTAACCATTTAAAATGTCAATCTTTTGCTTTCATTTAAATCAGTTCGTTTTCTGCTATTCTTGTTGTTTAACTCTTAGGGAAGTGAGCAAAACTTAAAATGTTGACACACTTGTCCTCGGTTCAGATAAGACAGGAAGACATAAGACTCTCCTGAAGACATGAAGAAAATTATAACATGGCTTTAATAGCCAATCACCATATTCCTCTCCTCTTAAAGATGACTTTCTCAAAAATAAATATAAACATTAAATGACCACGGAAACTGATCTTTGACATACAAATTAATAGAATGGTTTTTGATAACGACAATCACGTTAAGCAAAGACTACTGTTACTATGTTAGATTTTGAAACTAAAAATTTTTGTCTTAATTTTTTTTATTTTTTACAAATTTTATTGAAATTTACAGCAATATTCCTATAAAAAAGTTTGTCAAAATTCTCTTGGAAAAAAAAAGAACTGTCGTATCTTAATACTAAAATTTTTTTATAATCTATAAAATAAAAATAACATTTTTAGCAATGTATATATCGAAGCAATCTAAATGCACAATGTATAAATTAAAATTAGTGAATAATGAAAGCAGTGTAAAATGAAATCAACCAAAAATCATGTTTTGAAGAAAACAACTTTTTAGTAAATAATTAGTAATCAAGTTATTACAAAAATTAATTAGTAATAATAAATTATTGTAATAACTGGATGATTAATTTCTTCTTTTCACTGCATATGAGGACCTGTTCTACTATTTATTAAATTTAAAATATAAAGAGAAAAAAAATTAAATTACAGGCTAGTTATATATTAATTATAACTATTTAAATTATTGACTCATTTGAGTGTGAAGTAATTTTTCAAAAATAATAAAATCTAACTTTTCAGACTTAACTCATTGAGTATAATATATATTGAATGAATAAGTTAACCAGTATATAAATTTGTTTTTTCGTCAGTTTATATTAAAGTTTTAAAAATCACAAGCTTTTCATTTTAGTGGATGCTGAACTTCAACCCCATGTTTCAAATGTTCATTTTACATTTTATGGGCAATAAATGCAGAGTTGATTTTATTTTATTCTACATTTAAACTCAATAAACTCCAAATGAAAAATTATGAATCATTTCCAGGAATTATAGGTTATTCCAAAGTTTCAAATTTTTATCAGGAGATTTTAGCAGGACCTTATTAAAAAATATTAATACAGAAACACTTTTCAATAAATATATTCAACATGGTAGTGTACCGTAACAATCTGAAAGATGTTTTGATGCTAAATAAAGAATTATTTATGCCTCGTGAAATGAATATATTAAAAATAGTTTTCACATAAATGTTTTTTTAATTTTTTATATTGCTTTTAGGATAGTGCAACCACACTTATTTAGTGAAAACATGATTTGCAGAAAATTTGCAAGCACACATAGAATCTTTTTACAAGCTTTGATAATAGACCATACATTCAATTCTTTGTAAGTAAGTTCTTCAATCTGTTAATTTTTTGCACTTGATTTTTACTAAAAATGAGAGTACAGTATAATAGCTGATCCCCAAATTTGCAAAAACAGATGTAAAAATAAGAAATCATTCAGAGGTTTAAGAGAATTTAAAAAAAAAAAAAAGTATGTATTATTATATAATACCAAAAAATTAATTTCTGAAGTACCCATACAAATATAAAGCCTTTCCCAGCAGTTTATAGTAGTACAAAAATTAAAAATTCAATGTAAAATTAAAAAAATTCTTATTCTTTTGCTGCAATTGCACAAAACAATTCATTACCTTAGATGACTAGGTTAAAAGATATGTGTTAAGAGCATGCTCTAACAAAAGTTAAGTAAATAATGTGGAAAGTAGGGGTGCGTTGGAAATTCAAAAGTGTCTTAAAGTTTTTACAGGTAGTGCAGAAAATTTATCTGTTGATTAAGAAATACACAAAATCTTATAACTTTGTATTGAGATTTTCAGTTCCAAATTACCATAAGTTTTACTAAAAATGCTGAAAATTATAGACTAAAAAATAATAGATTTTGTTGATCAGCTTGAAGTAGTGCTTAAAAGTTACCATTTCTTAAAAGTGTATCAGTACAAAATTTTAGAATGATAACTGAACATCTTCTGCAGTCTCCACAACACTGAAGTTTGCAGTAGAAGAAAATAATGGAAGATTTAATTCTGTCACCTTAAAGGAATAATCCAAACTTAAGTTATGCAGCAAAAGACACTGAGTTTTAATTCTATAATTTTATAACAATAGTCTAGTAAGAAATTCTAACTTTTAAGCAAAATTGAAATAAAAAACACAAATTAAAATTTTTTTAAAGTATTTTTATATGTAATTCTTAAGAGTTATTGAGGATATCATTTCAGAGTTTAGAGAGTAAGAGAGGCTAGAATATTGATAAAATGAAATTTTTTCTTAGTATTTTTGATTGTTTTTTAAAGACATTTTTTATAATTTATTTTTTTATATATTTTCTACTGTAATTTTTTAATCAATTTTAAATGACTTTTATTTTATTTTAAGAGCATTTTGCCCCTGAACCAATTTGTTTCTTAAAAGTTATTACAAATTTTACAACCAACCTTTTATTTTAAATATGCTACGATAACAAGTGTTTGTGTTAAATAGTGTTTAACAATAAAAGAAATTGCTTTTAGGACATTCTTTTCATTTTAAGAATATCAAAAACAAATTGATATAAATTAGTTCTGATATTTTTTGAAGACTGTAACTAAAGATTAATAAATAATTTTATCTTTAATAGGTACTTACATTTTTATTCCTTAATTTCACATTTATTTTAATTACTACCTTAATTATTTTAGCAATATTATAAATGCAAAATTACTAGTAATAAGTTTTTAAATAAAAAAGTTGATAAAAAACACGGCATCAAAAATTCAAAAGGCATTGTTTTTATTTTTGATCATTTTTAAAGAACTGTTTTTTTTAAAAACATTTTTTAAGAATTTCTTTGCTATTAATAAAGCTCAGATTTTGATGACACTTGCATTTTTTCACACTTTAGATCATTTAGAGCATTTTTTTTAAATTTTAGGACAGTATTTTGAAATTTTTAGAACTACTAGCTCATTTTTACAAATTTTACCAATTTTAATTTCTGTTGATATTTCTAGTCACAAATAATTGTAACACTTAATTTGACTTAAAGCTTGTATAAGAAATACAGTGTGTTTAAAACATTCCAATCTTAACTAAATCTTGCCAGTTTCAGATTATTATTTTTGAGTTTAGTTGAACAATATACATGTATCAAAACAGTTTTCATTACTTCTTCAGTCTATTGTTAATTTTGAGTTTAACATTAATTCCAAACTTTAATGAAAATTACCATTTAATTTTCCTTAATGTACTTGTTTTAATACAATTACTAATACTGTATGCTCTCGATATCTCGAAAGTTAAAGGGACGCTTAAAAAAATTTCCAGATAGCAATACTGAATATATTTTAAATAATACTCTAAAAAGTAGAGTAAGGGAACATAAATGATAGTTGGCTATAAGAGTCTAAATACACCAATTATAATTTTATTTTTAAAAGTAAGACAAAAATAATTCTTCATTAAATAGAAAAAAATTGGTTAACAATGAACTTACATTCCCATTTATCCGAAAAATTTATTTTCTATTTCGAAAAAAAAAATGGTAACAAAGTTTTTGAGATATCAAGAGTATGCTGCATTTATATTATATATATAAATCTATATATATGTGTGTATATACAATATATATATATGAAGTTTCAGGATAGAAATGGGGCTTTAGATTAAAATTCTTGTTTACTTACAAGGCTTTTTTTCCTTCTTCATTTTAAAGGCATTTTTTGCAATTTTTTAAGGACACTTTTAGTGATATTTTAGGTCATCAAAATCTGGGCATTAGTTATCAATATTCTAGTCTTGGTTATGAGACTTTGCCTACTTTTAATGAGAACAAATTATTAACTTTTTCACATAACTGCTAAAAAATAAATTAAGACTTCTCGACTCACGGGACAATATCTAAGAAAGTTTGGACATAGTGTAAACACCATTCTAATTTTTTGTTTTTCAATACAATTTATCACCAACAAAGTCTTTATACTCATCACAGGCACTAAATAGATGCATTTTTTAAATCTGAAATCTATGTATAATATCACAACAATGAAGAAAAATCACTCGAAAATTTTCTCATCGATGGTCGAGGATGGATCTTCCAGCTTACGGCGGGTCTTCTGTTTTTCTGCGTTCTGAAGTTTGTTTATGTCTTCGTCCCGCATGGATTCCCATTTTTCCAGGAATTCGGCTACTTCTGAATGTCCGAAAGCATAAGCTTCATCCAGAGGGGTGTGTCCCCATCTGAAACAAATTAAAAACGTTGTATGAAATTATTTTTTCTTCATGTTAGAACCTAGGTATAATAAAGGTTATGGATACTTTGGGATTATACCGTCGACCTGTCAACGCTTGAGAAAATGCGCAAGTCCTTTGTTGCTATCATAATGAAAAGCAATTTCCAAAATAAACATTCTAAAGATTTAAAATTTTTCAAATAATAATAATATTACAAAAAAATTTAAGTATAAAAAAACCTAATAAAAGAGTGTAATAAAAAGAATTATTCTTGAATCCAACCAAACACATTATTAGAATCATTTTGGTGGCCAAAAAACCCTTGATAGCTTTTAAAGCGCAAACAAACAAGTCATTATGCTTGCGCAGTCGCTGACACATAAATTCGTTTAAATACAAATCTAAGTGCTTTCGGGTAGTTCCGCAGTGTTTCTTGCTTCACCATACTCTTGAAAATATGCCACTGCATTCTCTTTGGTACTAGGCAAATCCCAAATTTGAATATTTTTGCAGCGGTGTAAAATATTTCAACACGCTACAACAGAAAATTTCAACAAAATGTTGAAAATAACATATGGTTTCATAAAAATGAGTAACACTTGGGTACATAAACAAAGTGACAGTGATTAGGTTTGTCTATTGGGTACTTGCATTCCAAGACAAACCATACCCAGACATATGACGACAGTGCCAGGTAATCTTTAACAGCCAAATGACGCATTAAAGTTGAGCTAAGTTTTTCAACATAATTTAGAATTTTAATTATCTTTAATTAAATACAGAGCCATATAGAACAAATTTTATTCAAATTTATTGAAATATAATTCTTTCATGTCTTCGTCTTTTACTTAACCTTTATGTAATCATTTGCTTATGTATTTTATTGTAACCGTGATATATTTTTCTTTTTTGTACCAGCCAACTTTGACGTATAATAAGTTTGTTTACGTTCTACAGAGCTTCTTGCCTTTCTTTGTGTAAATATATAGTAAAAGAATTAATATCTTTGTGAAAGTATATCATAAGAGAATTGGTACTTGGCTTACTCGAACAGTCTAATGCTACGTTTCAACAACAAATTAGGATTGAAATATCCACACTACATCACTTGCAGGCACTTTATGGTTGAAAAGAAGTAGTGGCATAGCTAGAGAGGTCAGTCCTCGGGTGCAGCCTTGGAGAGGTGCCAAATTCAGGAAAAATTACTAAAAATGAATTCTAGAGTAAAATGTTTTTGCCTTTTAAATATCTCTACTTCCATTTGATATTTGCAGGCTCATCAACTTCGTCAAACTTTTCTTTAATTCATCTAAAAATTGAACAGGAAGTCTACTAATACTTCATTTTGTCTTGCAGATGTTCTTTTTTCTTTTAAATGTTTTTTAAAAAATTGGTGATATTTTTAGTAATGAGAAATGTCTTTAGTAAGAATGCTCACCTTCCAAACAAAAATAATAAATGCAATCAAAAACACCAAAGTGTAATAGAAACTAAATTTGCAGCATATGCTGTGAAATTTTGAATCCAATCTAAAACTTATGAAGTTACCTTGTTTTTAAAAGCATCATACAAATCCTATTCAAAGTAAAATTTAAAAATAAATGTAGCACCTATTACGGTAGATTTAAGTTTCTACATTATCCAAAATTTAAAATGGTCTTGAAAATCCCCCTCTTAAATTATGAAAACAAGCAACAAAAGCTATAGAAACAAAAAAATAATTAATAAATTAAACATTTTCATCACTACTCGACTAAATCAAAAGCAAAACTTTATATTATGAAAAAATAAAGGACAAAACATAGGACACTTTAAGACATTTTTCTCTCCAAAATATAGGACAACTGCAAGGTCTGCAATAATCCAATCTATACTCTCCATTTCTTCTCTGGATGGAGAATTTGAAGAACTTAATGTAATTGCATTGATCAATTGAAATGCAGTGAGAATGACCATTTACAAATCAAAAGATCATTTTGCAATTTTTTTTTACTCTGTATTCCAATTCTATACCATTCTTTAAGATCAGCAATTTTTTTTCACATAATTTAATAATAAAACAATCTGTGAAATGCTATAAGAATTAAATTGAAAATATATTAATAATAAAATGTCAGCAAAAAAAGCGGAATGTAATACGGTAAAATAAACATAACATAATTTACCAAAAAAGTGCTAGGTTGCTCAAACTTTGTAAAACCGGTACTAAAAATCATGCATATCTTTAGAAGCATTTATGTTAATTATTATCACTTTCAAGAAAAGGAGTGGGTTTATCCATATTCTTTTAACATTAGAAAAATTGTTTCAAATAGCTTTATATAAATAATAAGAATGTAAGTGTATTTATATGTAGTAACAAACAACTTATAATTAGTTAAAAATATGTATATAACTGAACTGGTTAATGAAAAAAAAGTAATAACTAATTTACATAAACACAGTAAAATGGTTAAACTTTGTTTATATCATAGTTAAAAACAATGAATCTGAAAAAGTTATCCATTTAAAACTGCATGTGAGTCGAAAATTACGTACACAATATAATCAAAGTGAAGACTGACCTGTCCTGGGGTTTGTGGTCGACCCCACACACTTTTAGTAGGAATTCAACACATTCCAGGTGTCCCTCAGAAGCAGCCAAGTGGAGGGCTGTCCGTCCATCATAGTCACTCTGACCCATGTCCATTCCGGACAAATAGTGCCTTTAAACATTAATGGAAGAGGTGTAATCAGAAATTTGCAATAGAATATGTCAATACAAGATTTTTAAATCTTTTAGAGCAGAAAAGTTGACAGCAGGACTTTGAATGGCCACCTTAATGAGCAATGCTGAAATAAATTCTAAACCTTTGTAGAAATGGTAAATTTTATAAAAAGTTAAGTGTTATCATATCCGGCATCATCGAAATATAACTTCTTTTTTTCTTTTTTTTAAAAAATTTTTTTTTACCCCATTGAGGCAACAGATTAATTCAAAGAATTTGCAGGACTCTTACTAGAAAAGAAGGTATTTTTTCTTTGACTTTTCCAGGTAAATTTACATAAAATTCCAGAACTTTAAAAACAAAAAAAAAAAATTCAACAAAATATATATTTAACAAACATGTTAAATAAAATTATATATAAAATTTCAACTTCAAAAAAGCATTAAATTATTTTTATTTAAAAAAAAATAGATGATTTAATTAATGTTAACTCTGATTAGAAAGAATAAACTGTCAAAACTATAAACATGACTGAAAGGATTAAATAAGACTAAAGGAATTTACTAGGCAATATTAAAAAAACAAATATTTTATTAGGACGAAAAACAACTTAAAAATAATCTATATAAATTAAAGTTAAATCGAATTTAATTAAGGTAACATTTTTTAAAGCTTAAATGCAATAAAAAATTAAAACCCAATATATTGACATAGATTGAAAATTAATTATGGGAAAGATTAGTACCTAGAAGATTTCAAAACTTAATTGAGCGATACTAATTTAAAAATAAAATAATTTAAAAAAACAACAACATATTTTCAGCACCAATTATCAAACAATCCAAAAAAGAAAATATATAAACAATCCATATTTAATTAAAATTAATCCATATTTATTAAATTAAGTCAGATAGAATAGATAACTAAAAAAATAATGCTTTTTAACAACTAGTAAAAAAATTTTTTTCCAAAAACATGAAACAAAGCTGTAAGACAAAAAATAAGAGTAGAACTTATTTATTAATAAATAAGTTTAAAAAAAAAACATTTAACTCATCCAAAAGAAAAAAAAAAACTAAATTACTAAGAAAATAAAATTATAAAAATAGTATACAAGCAATCTGTATTTAATTGAAATTAAATTACATTTAATCAATTGATGAATGAATTGAATAATTGGATTTTTCTTTTCTCTTGTTAAAAAACAAGAGAAGGGGGAAAAATTATAAAAATCAATATGTTAAAATTTTCTATTTAAAAAAATGAATCATATATAAGATAGATAAATAGATAGAAAATATAAATCACAATGGTAAAACTTTTAAATTATAAAATATACTTAAAAAAAAACTTATTTTAATGATAAATATCAAACCAGCACAAAAAGAAACTAGAAAATATGTAAGTCAATTGAAGTCATTCATTTACAGAGTTGCCACTCAAATATGGAAAAAAAAATTCCCTGTAGATATTATACACAATATATTAAGAGGAAACACAATTACTGAGCTCTTGTGTCAGATATATTGGCCTAACTAAACTAGTTTTAATAGCTGGAAAAACGAACAGCTGAACATACTTAAATAACACTAGCAAATGAAATAGTTTAGTATACTGAAATATCATCCTTAAATATCTCATAGATTACGCTTTAAATGTTCACCATTTTTTAAAAGACAAAAATAAGACATACTTAAATAACACTAGCAAATGAAATAGTTTAGTATACTGAAATATCATCCTTAAATATTTCATAGATTACGCTTTAAATGTTCACCATTTTTTAAAAGACAAAAATAAGTAATAAATTTCCCTGTATTTTCCCAATTTGTAAAGAAAATAATCAAAATTCTGTTATTTTAGGAAATTTTTAAATTTCCTGTATTTTTCAGGTTTATACTGTTCTCTCTGTGGAGTGGCAACCCTGGTTTAATTAAAGTTATACTAAATTATAATAAAGTAAAAACTTATTTAATACCTAGTTATAAGGAAGAAAAGAAAATGATAAAATATGAGGAAAACTTATTAATCAAATTAAATAAAAACAATACTTAAATTATCGAATAGAAACTAATTATTTAAAAGAAGCATTATCATAAATATTAAAACCCTCAACAAGGCAGGATATAATGAAATCAATCAAATAAAAAAAAAATCTTTATCCTAAAACTCATGAATAAGAACTAATTTATTGAGTATGAAATTTATTGCAAATGGAAAAAAAAAAAAAAAACTCAAAACGTAGATGAATTCAAAATGTATCACTCATAAAAAGTGAAAGCAGCAATCATCTTCATAAAGTAATCGTCTACTTTTAGCTATAAATACTTGTATGTTTGAGTATAAATTATCTTCTGCTTTTGCATCAGGCAAAACTAGCGAATGTTACACCTCTAAGGAATAAGAATTCATTCAATTAAAAAATATTCTTGCTTTAATAGATATAAAATAATTAAACATAGCAGATGATAAAAAACGTTTTGTTCTGAATAATTAATGCACGCTCCGAAATGATAAAGCAGTAATTACTCATAATAAATCAAGGACAACGAAAAATGAAAAATAAAGGTGGATAAAAAAAAACAAATTTAAATGTCAATGCTCTTAAGGCAGTAGTTCTTAACTCCAACATCCAATTCACAACACTCCAGAAAAACTTGAGAATAAAATCTTGAGGATACACTTAATGACTGTAGGTCCTGAAAAAATCTTATTATTATTTTTAAATCCTCAATTGGGTAAGCGCAAATTACAGTTAAAAACTGAAATCTTGCAATTTGATGAGGTGTCAAATTCCCAGGTTTGAGATAAAATGTTGTTTCTCCCAGACAATTCCCGGTACTGGCGTGTACAAATCCAGGACTTTGTATATTTTTCAATGACAGTAAACGACATTTCAACATTATCACTGCAAGATTAAACTCACTTCAACAATTTTTTTGTAAGAATATTTTGCAGAACAGAAGCTTTTGAAAGAGTTGAATACATCAAATCTTGGAAATAGTAAAGAGCCTATATTTAAATCATCATACAACACAATATATATCTGGCCAGATAACAAGGCATGACCGGCGGAATAACGTCTTATTTCTGTTTTTAAAATCATGTGTTTATCAGGGGTAATTGGGACACAGTGAAAAACCCTGAAAATTTTATTTGCAAAAAATCAATATCAATTTATATATCATACATGTTTTGTACATAACATAATTTTTTTCAGTAAGATTTATAATTAAATTACCCACCAATGACGATTATCACACTTTTATAGTAACTAATCTTAGTTCTTACAAGAATCGCGATGCTGGATTTTTAAAATCGTGCGAATATGAAATGTGAAATTGGATTTTAAAATCGCGTGATTATTATTTTAAAATTGTGTGAATACGAATCGCAACGTGTAACTTTTAAATTAGGTAAATACGAAATTTGATGTTTTATATTCAAACAGGGTGAATATGAATCGCGATATTAGCGAATTCGGCCACAGTTTTAAATATTCAAAATGGCAGAAATCCGTCAAACCAAAAGAATCAATTGGCGAATTTCTGTCCATTGGAAGAATAATCACATGTATGTGAGTGTCTCGTTATAGCGAAAGTTTCAAAATATAGATTTTAAATTGAGGAATTCCGTGAATATTTTGTCAGATTATAAGTTTTTGATTAGTAAAAGTCCGAGAACCAATGGTCTTGAGAAATGCAGAATTCCGTTATATTCCCAGAAAAATTATATACCCTGCTTTTAATTTTATCACTCGGAAGGATAATATGAAAAACCCAGAAACCAATCACCCCTGATTTATGATGAATAGAATGGTTTGAAGTAAATTCATACAATATTTTACATAGTAGGTGTATTATGAGTATCAAGAAAAAATGAATGAAAATAAAATAATGCAGAATTCCCCCTTTTGGATAACTCAAAGGTGCAATTGTAATTTGAAAGAAATTTTTAGCACTTTAATATTATCTTTGAGAAAACAATATTCCTAAAAAATGAAGAGTTACAAAAATGAAATAGTCAGTATTTATATGCCCATCAAGTTAATTTTTTTTTCATTCTTAAATTTATTGCTAAAATGTTACACAATTTTTTTTGTTGTAAAACCTTAGATTTGAATGACCGGTATATTTTGATCTTGTTGACGTAGGCCATTAAGACAATGGGGGTGCAATTGTTCTCACTTTCAAGTGGCGCCATCTACGGCCAAGAATTAGACTTCTGCTGCACCCATACATAGCACCCGTTTATAGGGCGGACCCATTCATATACCCACAGATTGTAATTTTGACCTGAACTAGAGAATGATCAATCTCCAATCCAGTACCCAAAGAGGTATAATTTCTTATGGGAACATGGAGGACTCTGTGACCCGACAGATTTAATGTACACCAGTGACCATTTACTACAAGGGGATTATAACTGATGAATAAATTCGGATATGGCACACAATGTCACCTTCTCATGGCTGTGACATCTCCACTGGCAGCACTAAAGAGTAACCCAACAATCTTCAGACCTTTTGTCTCATATTTCTGTCTTCTGGGATCTCTTTTCTGTGTTGTGTGTCTCAGGTTGTCATAATGATGGAAATTGAACACTCTCACCAACTCCTGAAATACATTTACCAAAATAATTATATTAATCAAAGTATATGTAATCATAGTTACTATTTGTAAATATGATTACAAATGTAATCATAATTTAAGATTTATTGTAGTTGGTTACATTTTACTCAAATACTTCATATACTTCAAATCAAACGTGTTATACTTATATTTGTTCTAGATAATGTCATTTTTTGTTGCATGTTTGAAAAAAAAAATTGTAAAGCATTGCCTTTAGAAAGTAAATTTTTTTTATGAGGGGAAAAAAAAAAAAAAAAAACTAAATTTTTGCAACTGAGGAAAAACTTTATTTATTTATTTATTTAATTATTTTTTTAAAGTAGAGCATTTAAAGGATGACCAAACTGGGGCAAAGCAGAGAAATATTGAAGCATCTTTTTGCTTTATATGCATTTTCTTTACCAGCTACTCATAAAATCTCTAATTTAAAAACAAAAGCAGTCAAAATGTGAAGGAAAAAAATGTACGCAAAATAATTTTAGATATAACTTGTGAAATGTTACAGTGTTCCGTTGGTTTGGGACCACTAAACTTTCACACAGATGCTCACAAAATAATATTTGTGGAACGCCAAACCAGCAATCAATATTAAAAGATGGTTTGTTGCTTTGGTTTCTTGATTTTGAGTTTTGTGTTTTAATCTATGTAATAGCCACAAAATAGCATATTTCACCATAATTGTGAAGAATGCACATTCATTAAATTGTAATTTTTCACTTAAATTCATTTTATTAACTTTTTTTTTGTACAAAAAAATAATAATAAATAGACCAGTGAAACTATACACAGACTAGTATTATCTTCAAGGACCTATCTTTAGTAATGTTTTCAGCTTCCATTACAATTGCAGGGATGAAATAGCAGCATAATTATTTAGTAGCAGAAAAAATGTGCTTTGGAGCAAATAAATGTGGTTTTTGAAGCAGGTTGGAGTAAATAGTCATTATATACAAAGAAACTTGCTGCTTGTAACATAAAATTTTTGAGCAATAAGTTAACATTTTATATCATATTTAAAAGAGCTTGAAAAAATGCATTGTTAAATAAAAAAATATGTAACAGAAATGCAACAACTAACAAGGAATTACTTTTTAGAATTTATTTCTCAAGGCAATCAAATAAATGTGCCAATAATATTTGAAACTAAATAAAATTCCCAATTTAAATTAAACTTATTAACCCTCACCCATAAAAACATTTATTTATTTCAAATGGCAGAGGTAATTGACATGAAAAAGCAAAAACATAGGAACAAAACAAGAAAGTAAAAAGTCATCCCATAAAAACATACTATCATTAAAATTATATAGTAAATCATCAATGCAGAGTAAATTCTACAGGGGTATTTCCGGACGATCAGCCCTATTTGTTGTTTTTTGTTTTATTTTTGCAAGGTTTTTCAAATTATGATGTTTAACCTAATATTATTTAAAACCATGAATTTTGAATATCAGTTATCACTATTTGAACTGCTGGTTTTGAAACGATTCCAGTGTAAACCCACATTATTTAAAGACCATGTTTTTACCTACTTTTATGGAGTTACGCCTTTTAATTGATATTTTTAATTACATACTATATAATGAAGTAGTAATGACTATTTGTTATTGATTTATCCAAAATTCACTTTTTGTTATGTCTGATTTCATTGTAATTTTATGTTTATTGTTTTGGCCATTTCCACTTGTTTTTTCTAATTTATATATTTTAAAGAAGATATTATTGTAACTTGCATCTGTCAACTTCGATTGTATTACTTTTGGTTTTGTTTCATTTGTGTCGATTCTACAGTAAATCCTCGTCATTTATGAGTCGTTTTGTCAACCCTTTCCACAGGGTGTTTCTGATTCTAATATTTTTAATACATTATATTACGACAACAGTGCTTTGAAAATTATGCATTTTAGGACTAAGGATTTCCATATTTCTGTGTCCCTTTCTACAAAAAGCAGGTTTCTAATAAAAATATGAATTCTCTGCATCTTCATCCATCAATTAATATGTACATTCATAATTCTTTCATCTATTGATAAAAAACAACAACAAAAAACTTGAAAAAGGAAGATTTTGGACAATTAGGGCTTTTATTCAGGACTGATCAAAACCCTGCATGAAGTAAAAGCAACAATGTATTGGGAGCAGGGCCGGATTAACCTATAGGCACACTAGGCACGTGCCTAGGGTCTATGAAATTCAGGGGCCTACAAAAAAATTGGGAGAAAAAAATTTGTTGACAAAAGTAATTTAGCTTTAAAAACAACAAGTGTATTTTGCACAAAATTATGAAGATACAAATAAAAATATAATATTTTTCGGTAATACATTATTTTGCAGAATCTTATGATCTAATATATTACTTTTTTGCGATTTTTGGATTCAACGAAATCTTGTATTATGCTGTCGAATTCCAAACTACGCAAAATGTCGTATTCAAATTAAAATCCATATTAATAAAAATGTTAAAAAAAATATGCAAGAAAATTTTAGCATATATTTTGAAAAGAGGGGAGGAGAGGGGGAAGGAGAGGAGGGCCCAAAAACGGCTGTGCCTAGGGCCTACAAAAGGTATAATCTGGCTCTGATTGGGAGTACAAATAAGTTTTCGTCATTTAATATAAAAAATTAGCAGTTTATTATGAAAAAACGGTACTTCAAAGTATTCTCCAATTCTAGACACTACTTTTTTCCCATCTTTCTGGGAGCATTTGAATACCACTTTGGCAGAAATCTTCATCTTTTGAGGATATCCACAAATCGACAGATTCCTTGGTTTCTTCAAATGATGTCAATTTCTGCTCAGACAGACCATGTGCCATCGACCAGAATAGGTGATAATTTGATGGGGTAAGGTCTGGCGAATACAGTGGGTTGAGTAGTGAAGCGTTTCCGAATAGCGAAATCAATTTTCATACAAAATTGACGTTCAATGTCTTTTGGCTTCAGTTCGTATGGAACCCAACTTTTTATTTATTTATTATTTTTGGATCAACAATTCTCAACAATTTTAAACGATGTGAAATCGCTTGCTGAGTTACTTGTAATGTAAGAGCAAGTTCTTTTTGGCGCTATCTTCTTCCAACAATTCTTCTAATTTCTTGCCTTTGTACAATTTCCGCTCTTTGTATTCCACGTCAAACTTCTGAAACTACCCACGAAAACTTCTCTCACTTAAAGCAGCCTCACCATATGTTTCTCCAAGCAATCGATGCACCTCAGCTGCAGATTTCTTCAAATTAAAGAAGTTAACCAAAAGTTCCTGCAAATGACACTTATTTGGCACAAAACTTGACATTTTTGCATGAAACAATTACGTAATGCTAATATGGAATCACTTATACTTTAAGGCTATGTTGCTACCAGATAAACACACATCTAACAATAAGACATTTAACACTAGTCAATTTCTACATAACCTTTCTGATAGTGCCATCTTGTGACGAACGGCCGGAACTTATATGTACGCCCAATAATTTGATACAATAGAAAAAAAATTAAAAAGATAGAAAAGAGCCTGATAAGAAAAAGAATTTTTTTAATATGTATTGTATTTAAAGTTTTGTTACAATTCTGCTTACATACATCTGTTGGCAAGCTAATTGTTTTAATCAAGAACAATTAATCGAGAACATAAATATTGCTGATAACATTTATTGTGAAAAACCCCTACTTTTATTTGTATAAGTATATTTATAACATTATAATCCAAATTTTTAAAGATTAAATATGTTAAATACTGTAAAAAAATGACAGACCTCACAGAATTGAACTCCACGCACAGAATTTCCATAGGAATCTAGGGGTGGCGACCACAGGCAGATTCCCATGACATTGGGAACCACAACCATTGTCGTTCCTGAAACACCTGATTTAGCTGGAAGACCCACCTGGATAAATAAACAAATATGTCAGAATCAAACAGGAACAAAAACAATTTTGTTTCATTGAATATTTTTGTCACTCCCAACAAGAAATATACATAAAGTATAATAAAGTAAAATCCTTTTCCATACAGTCAAGCCATTTGATCTTAGATCTAACCTCTAACGCTATACTTCCCATTGGTTTCTAATTGAAGATCTTAAATGTCAAGATCCATTCGGCAAGCCTTAAGAGACTGTATTTGTTGATATCAGCTTCCTTGAATATCCTATATAGTTCAAAATTATATGGTTGCCTTCATGAGCCATAAAAATTCAGAGCACTGAAAATTTTTCTCAAGGATTTCAGGGGATTAACCCAAGGGTAATTTTAATATTCTTAAAATAAAGATGAGGATATTCGTTATAACCAGTGGTCAGAAAAACTACATTATTTTTTTCAGTTTACTATAACTACTTTCTTACAAATGTAGTTAACTACAACTATGTTTATTTAAAGGTAGTGATTACAAACTACTTTGGAATTGTAGAAACTGCTTCACTAGGATTCACAGAGATTTGTTATAACCAGTGGTCGGAAAAACTACATATTTTTGTAGTTTACTATAACTATTTTGTTACAAATGTAGTTAACTCCTACTAAATTTTTCTGAAGGTAGTGTCTACTTCACTAAGATTCAAGAAGATTTGTTATAACCAGTGGTCGGTAAAACTACATTATTTTTGTAGTTTATTATAACTACAACTCCGTTTTCTTATAAATAAAGTGGCTACAAACTACTTTCGAAATGTAGTGACTACTTCACTCATTTAACAAGGCCAAAAGGCAAAAAAGCTGAATTTCCACGAAAGTTAATTTTATGAGTGTACAATTGTTTAATAATAAATTCCAGGCAATTTAAGATAATAAATAGTTATGTGTTGACATAAAATTGTGTACTAATTTATTAATATATGAATGATTACATCGATACTTAACGTTTAGTAAAAAGGGAAATTACCAATTGAAAAAATAAAGCTAGAAATTATTTTTTTCTTCAGTTCACATAAAGGAGACAATTATTACTGGAGAAACTAACTAGTTTAGCAAATTAGAACTATACTGAGAACATACATTAACATTCCATATTTTTAATAAATACTATTACATGATTTATAGCAAATACATCAGTAACATGACTTTTTAAATTTAGAAAAGAAAATAAACTTTTACAATGGGAATCACTATGTTCATATTGTAATCTAATCTAGCTAGAGCCCTGTGAAACATATCAATAACTGTGAAGTAGAAACATATAGTAGCTCTTTAACATACAAAATTTTTTATTTTAGTTTGAAAAATTGCATGATAATCAGCAACTCGATAAATAATTATTTTTCATTTGATATGAATTTTGCATTTTATAGCATAAATAACAGCAACATTATTTTTTAAATTTTGAAATTTGCTGCTGAGAGTTAATTAACTATTTTTCCAAAGTAAATTGAATCACTTTTTAAGTAATTGCTTTTGTTTGCTATGTCCTTATGTTAAATTTTTTTTTTTTTTAAATTTTCGATTGCTGCAAATACTTTATGTTTAACAAAACAAGCAAAATATCCTTTAATAAGGTCAAATTGCTTGTAAATGAGGGGTGCTCCAGTTTGGAAAAGTTTTATGTATTCTTGTGCTAACACCAAAACTGACACAAACAGATTAATGATTAATTTTGTCCTTAGCCCTTCTTCGAACATCTTTAGACAAATCCTATTTTTTCTTTTTTTACCTGCCTATGCAACATTCTTCTTTTCATGCACAGAATGTCAGTTTTGAATGTATTCTCTTCCAGTTTCTCTGATGTTGCAATGCCTATATATACTAATAATCGTAAATCGAAAAACAGTCACCATCATAGTAACTAATTAAATTGGGCTAGGGACATCTAAAAGGCTTGTTTGAAGAAGCGACGTCTGAATTACGAAAATACGAGAGATCTCGCGGGCGGGTAAAAATGCGAAAAATCTTATCTTCAGCGAGTAAAAGCGGAGAAAATAGCTAAAATATGTAAAAATGCGGAAGGGTTGGCAGTTATGCAGTTTGAATTTTTTGTTTATCTTTGAAAATATAATTAATTTATTTCAACAGCTGAATTTTCTGAAAAAGCGTAACATTATTTAAAAAAAGGTGAAACCTTTAGAGAATCGGAGTTTTCGATAAAAAGGCTGAAATTCGAGAGACAAAAATAAAAAAGCGGAAATCTGCTAAAAAAAATCTCATCCCTGATTTTAGGAACTGAACTTTCCTGGAGAAATTACTTTACACCTGTATAATTTACACAGCTAGAGAAATTAATTTAAACATTATGTTCAAAATGGTTTTGAATAAAAAATTTGCTTATATTAAACATGGAGAATTATTTAGAAACATGTATTCAGGTTTACATGAGACAGTTTGTTTTCTAAAACATTTCTTTTAAATTTATTCATTTAGTCTTAAACTTTTTATGCCCTTCTTGACAGTGAATATTGCTAGGAAATTAACAAATCATTGCAATTTGGTTATGCGTTTAATTTTCTTTAACTCTCTTTTATTTTCTATATTTTTGTTTCAGGTACTAGTTCTTTCAAGTTTTGAATCCCATTACTTGTAATAAAAAATAACTTTTGATTATTTAATTACAAAATGATCACATAAAAATCTTTATTACAATATTTTAAGAAAAGATTGCGACAATAAGAGATGCATGAAATTATTTAACATCGATGTGCCATAAGTAAAATTAAGTTATTGATAATTATGTAATTTTCAATAAGAAAAGGTTCATTCAATGAATTATACATTAAGTTAAGTGACCTTTTAGTAAAAGAAAATTATTAGATTTTTGTATTGATTACAACTCATTAATACACATGAAAATTATTTTATAGGCCATAATAATATAAGATACTTTGGGACCATCATGAAAAGCAATTTTTCAAAATAAAAATTCTAAACACATTAAATTTATCAAATAATAATAATATAATAATAACAAAAAAATGTAAGTGTAAAAATATGTAGTAAAAAGTGCAATAAAAAGAATCAAAACAAAGTAAAAACCAACTCAAAAATTTCCATAAATTTTTCGGAGACAGCTCAAGGTTATCCATCAGAAATAAAAAAAGTTTCAAAATTTGGCGGCTATTTAAAATGAAATATGAGGGGAAGCTTGTACTTTATTTTTTTAATCTTTTTTAGCCAATATTCCGTCATGCTGAGGGTATTTGTTGAAGAAGACAATAACAAAACGTTTGGCATGAAGCAGAATATTTGGCGGTGGTGAAGTTCATCTCAAGCTCCCTGAATTGGAACGCCAAGGGAAGAGAAATTTTTGAACTTATTTTTAGTTCATACTGGTTCTTGATCAATGAGTGAATGTCCTCTATGAGGGGACGTTTTTATTCACTAAATTTTGTTTTCCTCACTTCACACAATTTAAGAAAGAAAGCAAAAAGAAGGCTGTGCAACGTCATTTCAAGAGTTCACGCTGGACATCCATTTGATGTGTACTTAGATGCAAAAAAGCTCTCTCCATAGGGATAATGGTTTTTCTTAACTTGCAGCATAATATAGAATAAATTTACAAATACAATAATGAGAATTTTGCATTTATTATTTTTAATGTAAAGATAAAATTACTATAAATCAAAAAAGGAAAATNAACCGCTGCAGTACTCCCAGACAGAGAAAAGATCAATTCCATCATGCGCAGTATGTTGCTGTATTTCGAGATTAGAGGGTCATTTTAGAAGTGAGGAGCTAGACTCTTGTAAGATAACAAAAATTGAAAATATATCATGAACATTAACGGGAAAATGGCCGTCCACACGGACGGGCTGTTTTTCGAGCCCTGGAATAGACCACAAATTATAATAAATTTAACATAAGCTTCTTTTTTAACAAAAAATTTGCTCAATTTTTTTAAAAATTGCGTTTGCTTTCCTTTTTGTCATTTAGTTACACATAAAAAGAATAGCAGTAATACCTTATAACATTATTTTACTGCCATACAAAATTTATACATAAATTTTTTCTGCTATATCTGTCATATATAATAACAGAGTTTCCACTCAATTTCAGAAAAAAAAATCCATGACTTATCCAGGTATATCAGTTAAATTTTAATGAAAAACCATACCCTATTTTATCATGCTATTTTTCATAAGAAAACTTTGATTTTTTTTCATTTGTAATATTAAATATTAGATTTTGTGAGCAAAAACACATAATATAATAAGAAGAGAAACATGAAAAAACTTCACTAGAAGGTGTTTTTTTATAAAATTATTAAAATTGAATCTCAATAACTGATTACTGTTATGGACAATTTTAAGACTGGTTATTTTCCTGATATAGAAATTTTCTATGCTTTTTCTAAAAAATTGCAACTTTCCCTGATTCTCCCTGACCCGTGGGAGTCCTGTAATACGTTCAAGGCTAGATAAAAGAAAAATGCATGATTGTATTACCTTGAATGCAAACTGACCAGAATAGTCGTACATGCCACAAGAATGCATCAGAGACAGAACATCACGGACAGAATGGGTGTCAATAACTTGCTGCCCAGTAATTGGGCAAATCCCACCATTGGCCAAAGTGGCAGCCATCACACCAACTGTCTCACAATTCACTTCCAAAGAACACATCTAAAACAGAGAATGCAGTCTCAATATTTTGACACAACAGCATGTGATGCCATATTTCCTAGCTTTCATTCTTAATCGAATTTTAATTAAATGAAACCAATTATTTACTTTTTATTGCATTTTATAAAAAGCTAATATAAATTTTTATTCTTTTCTTAACAATCAATGTAACGGCTAACTTTTTATTTCAATAAATGTAAAACTCATTCATTCAATGCCACGACTAAATCTAACATCAAAATTTATTTCTTAATTTCTCTTACCACAAAAATGTTTCAGTTACAGGGTTATACTAATTCTCATGATTCTTTTTGATAATTAGCTATAGCCAAATTATTTAAAATTTAATATTTATTACAGGGGTTTACTTTGCTTTTTGATTATTTTATCTTTCAATGAATCACCAACCATGGATATCTTCCCATGCTCCTAACTGTCTATTGGGAACTATTCAATCACTTTTTAATTTGGCTTTTGATTAGGCTGCTCAAGGGGGATTTATCTTCTGTCCTTATCGATATTATTTTGCAAAATTTATTATTCCACTTCAAAAGTCTTACAGACAAAATATAATTTTGTATCTTGAGCTCTACTAATACTAGGGAATAAAACTTTAATTATAATTATGATCCAGTTATCATCACAATCTTCAATTAGTCAGTTATACCATACAACTCCTGCACCAAATTTCGTCATTATAAAGCATACATTTCTTTAATACATCAGCATCAAATACAAAAGTTGACAGGAAAAATACCAATTAATTGTTGGCTGGTATTAAATTTTTAGTTATTGTAAAAAGTAATTGAAAAAACGTGCACAGCTTTTAAGCAGGCTTAGTTAGATTTATTTTTTGGCCCAATTATAATTAAGACTAACTTTATATTAGATTAAAATGTTCCATTCATACAAATATACAAGATAATTGAATAAAAAATGTCATAAAATACGTTAAAGTTTCTAAACTAATTTATAACACCTGATTATAGTTTTCTAAAAGGTGCAAAAAAGTCAGTAGTGTAACATTTCTTTACTATTATCAAATAATGATAATTTATTTTTCAATAATGCTTGGATTATAATCATCATGTTCATAATGCAACAATAGTAATTCTTTAATAGCAATTACAGTATTCATACTAAAAAAAAAAATTTTTTTTTCCTGACTTTTCCAGGTAGATTTATGATAAATTCCGGAATTTAAAAAAAAAAAAATTAAACAAGATTTATATTTAATAAAAATGTATATTAAAATTATAAATAAAACTGTAACTCTAAGAAAGCATTTATAAAGGATTTTTATTTAAAAACAATTAGACAATTTAAATATTGCCAACTCTGATTAGGAATAATAAATTGTCACATTTATAGTACAGACAATTATCAATATAACATTTAATGATCATGTTGTATGGGTCATGTTAAAGGGAATAATGTAAGATTAAAGGAATTTACTATACAATATTTAAAAAAAAATATCAGTTGGTGAAAAAAAAATATATGAATGATCTATACATAATTGAATTTAAATCTTATCCACGCAAGAAAATTTTTGAAAACAAAAACGTAATGAAGAATTAAAACCCAGTTAGAATTCATTAAAACTTAATTATGGGAAAAATAAGCACCAATAAAAATGCAAATCTTAGTTGAGCGATAAATGATAAAATATATATATATATATATATTTAGCATCAATTAACAAACCATCCTAAAGAGAAACTAACAAACATATAAAACAATCCATATTTAATTAAAATTAATCCATATTTATTAAATTAAGTCAAATAGAATAAATAGCTGAAAGATAATCAATTGATAAGCAGAAAATAAATAAATAAACAAATTATAAAAACGCAATATTTATAATCCTTGCCATAAAATAAATAAATTTTGATATAATATGAAGTAAAGTTGCAAGAAGACGAACAATAAAAGTAGAACTTATTAATAAATAAAATAAAAGAACTTTTCGACAAATAAGTCCCCTAAAAAATTATAAAAGAAAACTGACACAAATAATCAGTATTTAATTGAAATTAAATCATATTTAATCAACTGACGAACGTTTTTTAGAAAAGAATAAAGAAATAAATAGAATTTATCATAAATAAAATGAATGAATAGAAAGAAAATATAAGTTATGATGGTAAAAATATGAGATTAATAAAAATGTTAAAGAAAAAAAACTTTGTTCAATGGTAAATACCAAACCAACACAAAAGAAACTAGCAAATATGTAAGTTAATTAATGTTATTCATTTAATTGAAGCTAAGCCAAATTATAATAAACTAAATAAAACCAAATTATAACTAAATAAAACCAAATTATATATTATATGATTTATTAAAATCACCAAATTAACTAATATAAAACAAAACTACTGATTAAAAAGCACAATATACTTCATACCTAGTTAATAAGAAAATGATAAAATTCAAGGAAAACTTATTTATCAAATTAAATAAAAACAAAGCTTAAATACCAAAAACGGTAAAATAATTGAAACACTACATGGATTTATGATTGTATCAATGCAAATTAAACACATCAAAAAGGGATTATACAAATACGCAATTCAAATTTTACGTGTTGTAATAATAACTAAATTTAAAAAACCATGGAAAAACGTCATCCCATTAACTGCAAAAAAAAGAGACCAAAACAATGATTTATGATGGTATCGAGCGCGATGAAACGCACTTTTTGAAATGTCTATGTTGTTAATATCATATTAAAAATTCTTTTAAATTGTAGCCAAATAAAAAAGTAATCAAATATATCACATTGGTTAAATAATTCTTCTGCTACAAATCGTAATTTGCAACAAAAATTACTACACACTAAAATATAAGTTTAAAAATGAAAAAAAAAACACAAGAAAAAAATTACCATTTTTTTCAAGCGAACGATCTATTAAATTATTGTCTGCCATTTTGGAATTACTTTTAAGATTATCAATTTTACATTTTTGTGTTTGCTTCGGTAATTCATTAATTCCAGTCGAAGTTAAAATGAAATTTCTCTTACAGCGTCTTTTTTTAGGTTTAACTAAAGTTGCGTTCTTGTCTAAGAATCATTAAAAAAAAAAAGTCGTTATTGCGCCTGAATAAGAACTTAGGAAGAAAAAAAAAATAGAGAGCTGGTAAGGGTACAATAAATGTCCTCATAAAAACATTTTGCGAATAAAAAATAAAATTTTAAATTAGAGGAACTTCAAGAAAATTTTGTCGGAATATAAATTATTGATTTGCTGAAATTAGCTTAATTACCCGAATTAGCTTAAGAATCACATGCCTGTTTATGTTATTTAATTATTCTTGTATCTTAAAGAAGCATCCTAGATTATGAATAGTTAAAAAGCTTTTAAATTACTGCAGAGCCGTTTTTTTAACTAAGCACTTTTTGTTCACTTTGTTTTGAAAAAAATGAAGTAATGGTAAAAGTTTAAAATTAGTTTATATTTAATACATATCAGTTTTTCATCCCTTACTTGGAAATAAAAATCCATAATATCTTTCAAATTTGCCTTTTCAGGATAGCACTTATTCTCTTTCATGTAAAAGCCTATTGAATAGTTTCTGTCAGCAGCTTCACGCTCGGAAAGGAATCTACAGAAAACAAAAAATTTATTTATTTTTTAATTACAATCAATAAATTTTTTTTAAAGATTGGATTGAAGAAGGGTAGTGTTAAGCAGGAATTAGATTTTGCCAAACTTAAATAGAATAATGTGACAAAGTTACAAAAGAGACATGGTAAAAAGGCAGAAAAAAAAATTAAAATATTGATAACTTTCGAGTTTAGGAAGCCACGTTTACATGAAAAAGACAAATTCTTCGACAGTTAAACTTTAAGAAAAAGTACAAAATATTTTCTGAAAATCAAATTCATCTATAAAATGCATTTATTTGACAGTAATATTATAAAATTTTTTTTATGAAATAAGCAACTATGGCTGGCCAAATGGCAGTAGAGATACATATTGTAAGCTTTTTGAAATTTACAAATGCACGAGAGTTGCTTCCAAAACTTGTTTATCCAAATGCATTAGATGTTTATTAAGGCAAATAGTGGTTTTCTCAAACTCTTATAATATTGCATCATCTCATAGCTGCAAAATTTTTAAAAGAGGCAGACAAAAAATTTGGATGATCAAACTTGTGACCTCGATATCTTGCTAAAAAAACCAACTGATTTTATTAATCCAGCATTGAGCGCATTAGATGGCAAAAGATTGCTGATGATGAGGATGATAGTACATCATTGATTAAAAAAATTATATTCAAATTTAATGCGAAAAAAAAAATGCTTTCTACATCAACAACCATTCTGTATTTAAAAATTTTTTCATAGATGAAATTGTAAGATAGGAATGCAAAGGTTACAATACTATAGGCAACCCTAAAGATTAATATTTTTATGAAATTAGACATACGTGGCATTATTAAATCCAAGGTATTCTCCACCAGCCATGGCCTTGTAATATTGACAAATCTATAACGAAGAATAGGTTAGTTTTATAAGAATGTTAATAAGATAGAAACAAAATAAGTGTTTTTTATTAAAAATTTAGTGTTTTTAATGAAGTCTTACATAAGATTTTTATATAAAGGTGAATAGACACAAAATAAATAACAATAGATAGAAAAATATTACAATTTTAGTAGTGTTCTTTTTTAAATTAAATTTTTTACTGATTGAATTACTTTATTATGCGTATTATCTAATTATTAAACGGTTAATTTAATATAAATACTTTAATTCACTATTTTCCATACTTTTAGAAGTTGATTTTAAAATTTTCTTTTTTGAATTAGTATTTATGTTTGCAGAGTTAGAATAGATGACAAATAGGTTACATAAGACAAATAATATTCCATTTGTATTTCATTCATTGTTGAAATTTTGAAATTTAATCTTAAAATGTTTTTTTACAGGAAATATGAATTTAGAGCCAAATTATATACTTTATCATTGGGAGGATATTATTTGATTGATTTCATTTGAAATAATTATATTTAAAAACAATATTTAGAAGGGGAAAAAAAAGAGCTCACTTACCCAATCAAATTTTTCTGATACTCTCATTTCAGGCTAGAAAAAAATAAGAGTTGAAGAAAGAAAAGTAGTTTTATTCTTATAAACTAAATGAATCAATGCAATCAATATTAACACAGGCCTCACTATTTGGAAAAACAAATGAATTGATATAGAGATTGAAGGACATAAAACCTTCACTATCCTAAAATAATGGAAGAGACACTTTTCAGTTTTTTCACACACAGATTTTTTTTAAAATTTCTCAAGAATTACTTAGAGGTTTATATTGTAACTTTAGAGCTGTTTTATTCATGCGATTTTTCATACTTAGCTATAAGGTTTGAAGAACTGACAGCAAATTACAAAAGAGACCAAGCATTTTTTAGCACCCGGTACCATAATATCAAGCAGTAAGCTTGTAATTTGCATAGGTTACTACTAAAATAACTGCCTGAAAATTCATAATCCTAGCTTAATTATTTATGAAGATATGGTCCTTTTTATAAAAAACTAATTTTTTGTATAATTTATTGTGCTGTAATTTTAAAAATATTCAAAATTTTAGAGCAATTTAAAATTAATAACAAAATTATTATTTTAAAATGTGAAAAAAATTCGTTTAAAACTGTGTAAAATAAGAGTATTTAAAATAGTTTTTTTATACGTATACAGTACATGAGTGGAAAAATAAAAATAATATTTTTCACAATTTTGTAGTTAACCGTATTTGGCAACTAATAACAAAAGTCGAATTTGAATATCGTAAAAATTTAAAATGTCTTAAGTAGTTTTTGTACTAGGGAAAAGAAAGCTAAAAATGACATGGAGATTTCTACAAATTTAATTTTGTATCACGAAACAAGATTTGTTAAAAAGGAAAACTCGTCATCGAAGTATGTTAGACTTCAAATATTTTCTTTCCTTATATAATCACATCATGCTGTCTGGTTATTACAGAACAAAGTAATTTGCAATACTATCAAAATGAAATTTGTGGAAAATCCCTGATCACTTAGAGCTTTATTTTAAAAAGCATACAAATACTCAGAAAATTGTATAAAAATAAGCAGGGCTCGAAAAACCACTCGTCCGCCCGTCCTCGGCGGTCCAAAATTCCCCGCGGACAACAAATTTCTTGAATCCAGCGTCCGCGCGGATGGCCATTCTCCCATTAATGTTCGTGATACATTTTCAATTTTTGTTATCTTACAAGAGTCTAGCGCCTCACTTCTAAAATGACCCTCTAATCTCAAAATACAGCAACATACTGCGCATGGCGGAATTGATGTTTTCGCTGTCTGGGAGTACTGCAGTGGCTGGAAGGGGCTTTTCAGCAATGAATATAAAAAAAAAAACTTATTACGTACTAGTCTTAAACAACAAGCGTTAAACACAATTATGAACATCTACCAAAATGGAAAACCTCTTTCAGATTTCTGTGCAGAAATCTCTGTAAATCATTGGCTTGATTGTGGAACTGGCAAACGTCATATTTGATTCATTTAAAAAACGCAGTACCATCAGATAAATTGACATGATAATTGACAGATAACTTAACCTTTGTTATTTAAATTATTTCATCAAAGAAATAAATTATTTCATAATAGAAATACTAGGTTTTACTATTAGTAACCTAGTATTTCTTTTATTACTGTATAATGTAATCCTAGTAACTACTAATTCATTGTGCAATTTATATAAATGTTTGTAATAAATAGGAGAAAATTATATTTTTATTTATTTAGAAGCGACGGGTTAGTTTCAAAGGAGGAAGGGTACATTGTTGAACAAGCCGTCCTCGGGGACGGGTAAAATTTCTGAGTTTTTTCGAGCCCTGAAAATAAGTATACAATTTTCCTCATACAAAAATACTGAGAGAATTGCAAGAAATTTTTTAAATGTTTAAGATATTCAAATCAGACTTTTTAATTAGTTGCCAAATACAATTTACTACAAAATCAAGATTTTTTTTCTGTGCATGTTCAGTATAAAATTGTCGTGAATTCTCACAATAGCTCTCCTGCGCATGCTGTTTTGGTGCGCCCGCAGCCATTCTTTAGTTGATGTTAAATCGATCTAAGAACAAGTATTTTTGCTCTGTTCAATAATTAGATACTTAATTGTTTATTCTTTTGCTTATTATATAATTTCATTATTAAAGTGATTGCCCTCAAACATGTTGGATTCCTTTGTACAGTAAACAAATTGATATTTATTACCCCCTAACAGTGGCAGTCCTGGAGAACAAGGTGAGTAGAACTTACCTTGTGTTATGGAATAAGTTTTATCAGTTTTTGCTTAAAAATTGACAAAAATAACTACTTTAAATACTCACATCATGCACATTTTTTGTTTCAAATTTTAAGACAAAAATTTTGTTATTATTTTTAAATTGCTCCAAAAAATTCGGTTTTTAATTTTATTGAATATTTTTAAAGTAATAGCAAAAAAAAAAGTAAGACAAAAAAAGTTTTTTAAAAAAATGTATTTATTTTCATGAATATTTAAGCAAGGTTTACGAAATTTAATACAATTATTTCAAATAACAACTCAAGTACAAGCTTATTACTTGGTTTTGTGGCATAGGGTGTTCTTAAAACTACTTTAAATACTCACATCTTGCACATTTTTTGTTTCAAATTTTAAGACAAAAATTTTGTTATTATTTTTAAATTGCTCCAAAAAATTCGGTTTTTAATTTTATTGAATATTTTTAAAGTAATAGCAAAAAAAGGTAAGACAAAAAAAAAAAAAGTTTTTAAAAAAAATGTATTTATTTTCATGAATATTTAAGCAAGGTTTACGAAATTTAATACAATTATTTCAAATAACTCAAGTACAAGCTTATTACTTGGTTTTGTGGCATAGGGTGTTCATAAATGTTTGTTCTCTGAAAGTGTGAAACTTTATTGCTAAGTTTGAAAAAACGTATGAACTGAACCTCTCGAAGTATTTCTTAAGAAATGTCAAAAACTGTCTCTTCCATTATTTTAGGGTATATCATCATAACATTTTTTTATTTATAGTAGAATTATGTAAATAAATTACAATTAAATAGTAGAAAAAAAAATTTGTATATAAAAAGAAATTACAGCATAAGCTTGATATAGCAAATCTGCTATTATTAGAGTCACTGCCAAAATAATAACATTAAAGAGACAAAAAATGTAAATAATAACTAGCTTTTTTTTCTTCTTCAGGAAATAATTTTTCTCCCCTGTTTAATTGAGCAATATTACATAAATATGGTTCAAATGAGAGATATTTTTATTTATTTCTGTTATCAATACAGGAAATTGAAAAACAAAATTGCTTCCTTTATACAATTTTAAACCTTCATTTACATAAAACACTGTGTGAGAGATCACAGGCAACATTATCTTCTTTCTTTCTAAAAAAAAGAAGTTTCCTTGACAATTGTTAGAAATCCTGCTGTACACTTTAAAAAAATGCACCGATCACCCATCTATCCTGTCATCTTGTTTCCTTTCTCGACAACTCATTATTAAAATCAACACTCACTCTTATTAATAATATCAAAAGTAGCTGCTTTCCATTTTATTTTCCTCTTGCAAAAACTTGTTGTTCAAATATTTCAGCAAAAGCAGAATTAGTTCCACAGAAGTATTTTAAATCAAAATAGTTGTTCAAAAAAAAAAAAAAAAAAAAAAAAAAAAAAAAGGTACATGTATATTTCATTTTCAGTTTTTGATTGCTATTTTTACATGAAAACACTCGCTTAGAAGGAAAAGCATGACAATTTTGTCAACTTATTGTCAGAAGGAACTATTACTGTAATTTCAATTTCACGGAAGAGAAAATTACATTCTAGAGATTTATAAATTTTTTCTGGGTAATGATAGAAAATCAGAAACTTTAAAACATGTTGGCTACTTGTAAAAGATAATGCGCAGACAGCTCAAACCATTATTACTAACAAAAAGTTTTTTTAAAAAATAAATAAATAACGGAAATCTTCCTAAAACAGTCTAACTTTTCAAGCAAAAGTAAATTAAATTTAAAGATTAGAAAAAACAATATATAATATTAACTACAAAATACACTGGGAACTTTTCATTTAAAATGTAATATTTTGGGTCAAATACTGTATCTATCATTTTAATATTAAAAAATCATCATCAGATTGAGCAAAAAAGCTACTTATCAACCTAAAACCCTGAAAGCACTTTGCTCTTTTTAAAGTTCAACACTACAGTATGGGTGCTATTTCAATTTAAAAAGCTTTTTTGCTGATATTTTTCTTAATAAGAAATTAGCTTAATATTGCTAATGGATGATGGGAATGATAAAAGCCAGTTTAAATATTTAGCAGAAAAAAAACCATTGTATAAAAATAATAAAGCTCAAAAAATTAGCATAAAACACGAGTTGTAAAATAATAACTTAAAAATAGCTAAAATGGCCTTAAAAATAGAAGAAAAAAAATCACCCTTATTAATAATAAAGTGTTCTTAAAACATTAAAAAAATCCCCATATAATCAAAAAGAATTTCAATAAAAAACATTATTTTTCTAAATTTGCAATTAAAATTTCATTGAAGCACATATAAATGTCTTTAAATATATAGATTAAGAGAAGTTCAATTATTCTTGACGTTGACATTAAAATGCGAAATTAATAGAAAGACTAAATAAGAAAATGCCGATCGTAACTTATATAATTGGAGCACAAAGTGAAAAACCGTGAAAATTTTATTTAAAAGAAAAATCAATATCAATTTATATACCATTCATGTTTCATATTTAACATAATTTTTTGAACTAACATTTATCATTAAATTACCTACCAATGCAGAATATCACACCAATAGAGTAACTAATTGGAGAAAAAACATACTTCTTACAAGAATCGTGATATTGGATTTTAAAATCGTGTGAATAGGAATCGTGATATTGGATTTTAAAAACGCAAAAATACAAATTGCGATACTGGATTTTTAAATCACATAAATACGAATCTCCGTACAAAAATTATAAACACGAGAATATGAATGACCACAGTGAGTAGTTTTTAAATAACATATAAAACAGGGTTCCCACTCAATTTTAGGAAAAAAATTCCCTGACTTTTCCAGGTACAAAAGGTAAATTTTAATGAAAATCTATACCATATTTTATTTATACCATGCTTTTTCATCAGAAAACTTTGATTTCTTTATATGTGTAATATAAATATTAGATTTTGTGAGCAAAACAATGTAACAGAATGAAAATACGGAAAAGTTTGACTAAGTGTTGGGATTTTATCAAATTTTTTTTAATAGATGTTAGAATTATTTAAATCGAATCTCAAGAACAGATTACTGACATGTCTAAGACTGGCTATTTTCCAGGTAAGATATAGAAATTTTCAAGGTTTTTCAGTAAAAGATTGCAACTTTCCCTGCTTTTTAGAGCTAAAATGAAATTCCCAGACAATTCTAGGTCCCTGATCCGTGGGAAACCTGATAAATGTGAAAATCGATGCTTGATATTACAAATACGTAAATACAAATCGCAATGTTGGATTTTAAGAACACCTAAATATGAATCATGGCATTGGATTTTTATAATGCGTAAATACATATTGCGATATTGAATTTTCAAATGATGTAAATACGAATCACCTGGCAAAATTTCTAGATTGCATGAACCATGAACACGAATCGTAACGCATAGTTTTTAAATCGCGTATAAATGCGAAAATCAATGTTTGATATTACAACCACACGAATACAAATCATGACACTGAATTTTAAAAACGTGTGAATACCAATCGTGGCATTGGATTTTAAATTCTCGTGAATAAGAATCACAATATTGCGTTTTAACTGCTTACCTTAACAATTTTTTAGAGAAAAAAAATGCAAACGATTAACATATTTTTTTATTTCATTAATACAAGGAACTAAAACAAAACATAATACACAAGTTCTCAGCTGAAATTTTAATTTTTTTATGCGTAAAAAATATTTAATTTACCATCTGTTTACTACCCCAAATTAACTCAGGCAAATGAAAAAAGTTAAATATTAGTCTATGTATACATATATGTTCACATCTTCATAATCTGATAAATCATTTGCATTACACTTTTACTTTCGCTCATGATTGCCATTCTTTTTTTACTCTTCCTTTTATGTAAATTCATGAACTATCGTATATACAATTGTACAAAACACTTCTACAGTCCCACAAATAGCAAAACTCCCAAACAAAAATTGACAAAGTTCCAATCACAGCAGATTATTATTTTTTGTTTTGCTTCCGGCTGAATAAAAACGTGATAAAACAAAACATATTGACAAATTCTGCCATGCCCGAGTTTACTCCGGATAATAAATATTTGCAATATATATACATACCTTAGGTAACTCGGGATAATCAGTGCGGCTAAAAGGGTGCAAATATAAATCGCGATATTGAACTTTTAAAACACGTAAATTACTATGGAATTTCGATGTACGATTTTTAAATAGGGAGAATACAAATCACAACACGTAGCTTTCAAATCAAGTAAATACGAAAATCGATGTTTAATATTAAAATCGCATGAATATGAATCACGATATTAGACTTTAAAATTGCTTGAATATGAATAACGTAAATATGAATCGCAATGTGTAGTTTTTAAATCACGCATAAATGCGAAAATCAATGTTTAATATTACAAATGCTTGAATACGAATAGCATCATTGGATTCTAAACTAGCGTGAATATGAATCGCGATATTTGGTTTTAAAAACGTATATAGCGCGATATTGGACTTTTAAATTGCATGAACAGGAATTGCGATGTACGATTTTTCAAACGCGCGAATACAAATAACAACACATAGCTTTTAAATCAGGTAAAAATGAAAGTCGATGTTTGATATTAAAATAGCTTGATTAGAATCGCGATATTAACTGATTCGGGCACTGTTTTAAATATTCAAAATAGGGAAAATACGCTAAACCAAAGGAATCAAATTGGCGGAAGAATCACGTAAGACGTAATTCTCCCTGTAACTGGGGGAAGAATGCATGTTAATAGGATTTAGAAAAAGTCTAAAAAAATAGTTGTAATAAGTAAAAGTTTTAGATTGACGGAAGTCTGCAAACCAATAGTCGTGAGAAGCACGGAATTCAACGATATTCATGCAAAAATCTCATGAACCACTTCTAGTTTTAAGATCCAGAAAAATCTTACTAAAAATACGGAATTTTGGAGCACCCTAGGAATACAATCACCCCTGAATATCACCCCTGTTTGCAAAATTACAAAATAAAAAACCAAAATATTCAAAAATTCTGAATTTTGCAATATTACTAAAAAATGCTGCTAAATGCAAAATATTCCGTAAAATGAAAAAAAAAAAAATCTTAAAAGCACTATAATAAAGAAAGAGAATTAAAAAAAGTGCCATCAAAATCTGATGCTGATTAATGACAAGAAAGTACAAAAATAATAATTTAAAAAAAAGACAGGTTTAATAACACTCACAGATTTATTTGTTGGAATATGGCATACCAAGAAGGATTGTGACAGATAAGGATTAATATTAATCCTTATCGTTAGTGTTTACAGATCACAAACAATGTGATTGCAAAAAAAAATTAGCTGAATTTTTTCCCCCAACGTGTAGTTTTCTTTAGTAATTTTCTAACGAACGATCTCTTAAATGTTTACCTTTTCGAAATTACTTTTTAGATTATCAATTGCACACATTTGTGTTTGCCTCAGTTGTTAATTATTTTTAGTCGAAATTATTATGGAACTTTTTTTCTCTCAATTTCATGTTCTTATCCGAATCTGAAGTTGCGTTTTTCTCTAATAAATCAAAAGAAAAAAAAGTAATGGCTCGTGAATGAGAACTTAGGAAGGAAAGAAAAAAAGAGGCTCCTGGTAAGGGCGGAATAAATGTCTCGTTAATGAGATTTTGGCTGGTTTACAAAATTTAAATTTTAGAACTCTGAGAAAATTTTGTTGGAATATAAATTATTCATTCGCGGGAGCTCGCAAATCAATGGTCTTGAGAAGAATCATATGCCTGAAACCATCACTGGTATTGGTTACTTTGTTCAGCAGATTATTGAGAACTATTTTCTAGTAATCAGCACATATTTTAACAATCTTGTATCAGTGTGACTTAGCTATTGATGATTACATAAAACTATGTAAAAAAATTTACTTTTAATAACATGAATCTTGAGTAAATTTTTAAGAATATTTATTAAAAAACAAAAAGACAATCATAAGAAGAAAAATAAATCATTAAATGAGAAAAAGCTTACCTCAACAATGTATAAAAGAAGAGAACAAACAACAATAGCACCCGCATTAACCATTGGATTGTGAGGTTTTTCTAAAACACCAAAAGTTACATTAAGAAATGTTTTAAAAACTACCGATTAAAAATATAGCAGCCATTTTTCATATCATACATTCTTATAAACCACTCTTTCTGTCAGAAAATAATGAGAACTACTCTATTTTCCATTTTGAAAAAGTCATTCTTTGTAAGGATTGCATATGAACAAACCAAAGAGCAATCATGCAAGGTTTTGGGAGCAATATGATAAGAAACCTTTTAAAATTGCTTTAAAAAAATCACCAAGATTTCCATAAAGGCAAGAAGATATTTCTGAGTGTTGAGCTGTCATCTATTGGAAAATCTGGGATTTGCAAATTACCAATCTGAATACTACACAAAGGAACAATTTTTATACAAAAAGTAATGCGCTTTAAAAATTTAGAGTAATAATTATATTTCTCTAAGCATTAGAAGAGATTAACAATAAAAGTATTTGATTATTGGTATTTTTATTATCAATAATAACTAACAGCTTTTTCATAATAGTTTTTGTTATTTTGTAATATTTTTTTAATTTTCCATACACTATATAATGAGAGGAATGTTGGAAATATAAGAAATAAAAGAAAATTAAAAATAATATAAAATAAATTAAAAGAAAATTCTTTCTTTCTTTCAATGTAACCATGGTAGAAAGTTACCATGAACTTTAGTCTCGAAAGCAAAATCGTAATAAAATTCCATCAGAAATAGTAGACAAATAAAGGACACACTATGTGAAATGAAAAAAAAAGAACATTTTTAATGGAATATATGATTTTTCTAGTGATAAATATTTCTCATGAAGAAAAAAAAAAGATTTTTAATTTTCTATGAAGGATAAGTTTCATTAACAATAAAAATTAACATAACTCACTATATATTTATTTTATAGAGTCATTTTTATACAAAAAAATTGAATATCTGTAGATACATAATGATTTATCACAAAAGATTAAAAAGAAAATGTCTGTAGCAGTAGAATTGTTTCATTTTTTTTTAAAAAAAGGGAATATCTATTTCAGTAAAATAATTTGCCCCTAAAGTTAATTCATATCTACTAATACAAAAAAAAAAAAAGATTATATGTCCTAAAAAAGTGATTAAAATATTTTTTTAAAAAACAATAAATCTATTGATGTGGAATAATAATTTGTTACAAAAAGTGAATATCAATTGATAGAGTAAAATAACTTGCACAAAAATGGAATGTCTATTGATGGCTATTGGTAAAGGGTAGTTTGTCACCGAAAAAGTAAATATTTATAACTGTGGAATAATTTTATACAAAAAAAAGTTTTCAAAGTCAAATTTTATTTGAAGTTTGAAATTTTATAAAGGATTCTAAAAAATTGCCCAAAATAGAAAAATTTCTAAATCATAAAAAAATTTTGAATAAAATAAAATATACTAAAATATTTTTTGGGTTACAAATCATTCCACAGCAATGGAATGCTAGTGAAGCCATACTTGAAAAATAATTTGAATACATAACTTTTGTTTAAAGAAAACATGAATGAGGAATACAAAGTTTCTCTTTACTTTACAAACATTACAACGCAATAATAATAGTAGTAAAAAAAAAATTCTAACAAAAATGTCAGTAAATTAAAGCCTGGGAAGAAAAGAATGTGCATTCAAAACAACTGAACTATTTTTAAGTAATGTAAATGAACTAAAAATATTTTTAATTGTTGTCTTAAGAGTGAAAAATATCTTCAAGAGGGTAGGAATGATTTAAATCACCAGATTATCTTCAGAAATTATTGATTCAAGTTGAAAATATTTTTCAACATAATTTATAAATATACTCTTGAGGGTGTTGCTTAATTTCATTGATATTAAAGGTTTCATCAAGAGAAATAATGAGATGCAAATTAATGATGTATGTAAATGTGCTGAATGTACAATATATGTAAATTATAGATGTTGAAAATAGACTTAAAAAAAAAAGACTGAATGTGCATAAAAGGGACCTGAAACTTTTAAACCATAATTTTCCATTAACTGTATGTAAAGTAATTTGCTGTTTAATAAACATATTTCAATTATACCCATTACGTTTTATGTTTATTTAAATACGAGTACTTTTAAAACTTATTATCTATTTTGCATATAAATTAAAAAAAAAAAAAAGATTTGATTTTCCAAGAATGTTATAGAATAAGTAGTTTTTTTTAAACTTTTTTTAATGTTTCCTGATTTCAATTTTTCATTAAATTATTCTTCATTTAATAGTTAACTGACAAACTGGGATTTATTTTTAACAAAGTTATGAGAGTGTTAAGATCATACAAATACAATTTCATCTCATTTATTCATTAATTAATTTGTAATAATTATATACAAAATATTGTTAACCATTTTAGTTGGAAGTTTTAAGTTATTTAACTATAATATTGCTTTTAAAAATTACATTTTAACATAGTTTTCAATTGCATAAATTTCCTCTGATTTAGAAATTAAAAATAAAAATCCAATTTCGAACATATACATCTTAAAAATAAAATTGAAAAAAAAAAAAAAAAAAAAAAAAAAAAAAAAAAAAAAAAAAAAAAAAAAAAGCCGTTAAAGTCACAGATTTGATGCAGAGTTCAACCAGACTAGCATTTTACAGACTAACATTAAAATTTTCCAATTTACAAATATACTAATATTTCAATGAAAACAGGGTTTACTGTGTGTGAATAAAGCAGGATATTGTGAATAATAGCGAATTAACAGACTTGCTATAGTCTCTGTTCTATAAACAAGAACTTTCCTCAGTATAGAAACATAGAATAAAAGAAAATACACAAGGCAAACAAGCTTTAACATCAACCTATACAGAGGAAATTTAAATCACAGGTTTAAGTTTTCCTCTGCGAAGATCATTCCACACTGCTCTTCAACTGACCTTGACTCATGCGAATCATTTCATGCTTTGAAAAATTCTGATGATTTATTTAATCATTTTGTTAGTATCAGGGATGAGATTAGCCAAAAAGCAAAAAAGCTGAATTTCCACGATAGTAAATTTTACGCAAGCACAACCCTTTAATAATAACAGTTTAAGGTAATAAATAATGTGTTGACATACAATTGTGTACTAATCTATCATTATATAAATGAATCATTGATACTTAACATTTTTTAGTAAAAATAAAAATTACCACCTGAAAAAATAAATCTGGAAATTATACTTTTCCCCAGTTCACATAAGAGACAATTATTACTTGAAAAACTACCTGGTTTAGCAAATTAAAACTACTGAGAATATACATTAATATTTCATTTCTTTCAATAAATACTGTAATGTGATTTATAGCAAATATATCAGTAATAATCAGTAATCTTTTTCCCCAAAAACAAATTAAATTAAATCTCTTTTTAAGTTATTGCTTTTGTTCGCTATATCTTTTATGTTTTCTACATTTAGTCGTTAGTCCATCTTAAAACATCTTGTGACAAATCCTATTTTTTCTTCTTTGCAAGCACAGAATGTAAGTTTTGAATATATTCCCTTCCAGTTTCTCTGATGTTGTAACACTTACATATACTAATAATCGTCCTTAGAAAAACAGTCACCTTTATAGTAACTAATTTTAAAAAAATGTGCTTCTTACAAGAATCGTGATAGTTGATCTTAAAATTGCGTGAATATGAATAACAATTATGGGTTTTGAAATCANATTAACAGACTTGCTATAGTCTCTGTTCTATAAACAAGAACTTTCCTCAGTATAGAAACATAGAATAAAAGAAAATACACAAGGCAAACAAGCTTTAACATCAACCTATACAGAGGAAATTTAAATCACAGGTTTAAGTTTTCCTCTGCGAAGATCATTCCACACTGCTCTTCAACTGACCTTGACTCATGCGAATCATTTCATGCTTTGAAAAATTCTGATGAATTATTTAATCATTTTGTTAGTATTCCATTCTTTTCTAATGTTTGGAAATTTATTTAAATTATATTTCATGCACATTATTCCGTTATTTGATTCCTCTTCCTACACTGGTTTATTCCTCTAATTACATTTTGCGATTTGACATTGAAAAAGTTTATGAAACTGCACCTATGGTATGCCTGTTTTAATGCCATTATTCAAGTACTACTTTTTCATCTATTACTTATTTGTTCTTTGAAGTATGTCAACACAAATTAGCACTACATAATGCTAACTATAGTAAGTTTTTGAACATATAGGAAGAGATATTGATAAACATACTATTTAAAAATATTTCAAAATATCTGAAAACATTAGTAAGGATAAAAGGATAGTGGCAATTTGAAAAATTACGGTCTCAGATAGCAGAACTCGAACATCATTTAAGTTATCAAAAAACATTGCGAAGAAAAAAATCCCCTCTATGTAAGCCACTTTGATCAATTCAAATAGCACTTGATCTCATTCTTTAACAACAAATTAAGTAAATTAGATTTAATAGTTAGATAGTTAATAGGCATAAAAGAGCCAATTTAATAATTATTATACTAAGAGAAAGAGACAAAAAGATTGAAACAGATTGATTAGACAAGACAGAAAATTATAAAATGTAATGTAATTTTTTTTTATTAATTATATTTCTTAATATATGCGTCCCTAAGCAAAAAAATAATCATAATGCAAAAGCTTTTTTAACATACTTAGCCTTCATTTATCATTCATTCATTTCAGAAAATCTAGCCAAAGAGTTTCAGTTTAAATTGACAGTCTTTACAAAGATAAATTAGTGATCCCCCAATGATAAAATTTAAAAAAGTTAAATTACAGGATCTCAATCTTTATTGATAGATATACTTCACGCTTTGTTTGACTAGTTTTTAAACAATTGTTAGTATACAATAAACAATTTTAGGCAGGCTGGTCATTTTTCAGCATCCCTGGACTCACTCGAAAATAAACCCCAAACAAGTACAAAATAATTGAAAAAAAACATAAACAAACTTCATGTCTGACTGTAACATAATTATGCAAGTCTTGTAGAAATGGTATTTTCTAATAACAAGCTTTTTAATGGACTTGAAAAAAAAAATCAGAATCACATTAAAAAAAAAAAAAAAAACCAGGATATTTTCAGATGTTGATGCCAACGATCATTAAGGCAGAGGTGATTGTCCTTGTTTTCTAGTGTCACCATCTTTGGCCAAGAATTTGACTTCTGCCACACCCATTTATAGGACGGACCCATTCATTCATTCACCATTGTCCACAGATAGTAATTTTGACCTAAACCAGAGAATGATCAATATACAATTCAGTAACCCAGAGGTACTGATTTGTTATGGGAACATGGAGGACTTTGTGACCTGACAGATTTAAAGTGTGCCAGTCACCATTTATTATACGTGGAGTCTTCGGCCGACTGGATTCGAACTCCCGTTCTGGCTAACGCAAGTCCAGCGGCCTGTCAACCAAGCTACCCCGGCCTACATTGTTTAGATAATACGTAATAATACAAATAGTATACATAAATCGGAATACTTTTAAAAAAGGAAGAGAGCAAACTTTATTGCAAAAGAATAATAAAATATTCTATTTTTAATTTCAGAATTATTTTGTTTAGAATAGAAAGTTTTAACAGTCTCCAGAATAATTGTCAAAACTAAACAACTTCATAACAGCTTTAAATCAATGCATGTAAAATTTTTACACTACTGTTTCATTACAAAAAATAACAGTATTAATTAAAATTACCTCATACTAATATATAATTAAAATTAATAATTGAGTTCAAAATTTCTTTTTTTCTTTCAAATAATAATTGTTGATTGGATTTATCACTTTTAAAATCAGATGAAAAGGTTGAATCAATAATTGTGAACTAAAAAAGTCCATGCTATATAATTTTTTACTGCATTAATATAAATAATAAATAAGTGAACCCTGGATTCATCACCAAAACAATAACATAAAATTGTTAATTCTATTCTTATAGAAAGACTGAATTCAATAAAGGTTTAAGCAAAAATTTTGTAGGTAGGGGTGTATGTTTGAATGAAGGTCTTTCCAAGAATCGAAGCTATCAAATTTCGCTATTTCTGCTATCATTATTAAGTGAAATAAAAAAAAAAAATGAATCGAAAATTCAAACTTATCCATTCTTCGAATCTATTTTTTTAAATATCTGCATTCATTTTCTTAAATGAGATGTTCTGAGCACACAATAAAATCTGGACAAAATAATTTTTTTATCAGGAATATCAGGACAACTACGGACCCTATAATAGTTGAGTTAAAAATCCAATTTTTAGAATCCAATTTGTGAATTACAAAAGTTCCCCTTAAATAATTTTTTACTGCATAAGCATAAATAATATATAAGTGCATGATCCCTGAATTCAGCACCAAAAAAATTTTATAACATAAAATTGTTAATTCTTTTTTATAGAAAGACTGAATTCAAAGGATTAGCAAAAAATTTAGTAGGTCAAGATATATATTTGAACTATGAATTATGAAAGTCTTTCCAAGAATTGAAGCTATTCAATTTTGTTATTTCTGCTATCATCATTATAAGTGAAATAAAAAAAAGTTGAATCGAAAATCTAAACTTTCCAATTCTTCGAATGTAAATTAATGTTTTTTAAATACATGCAATCGTTTTCTCAGTTCTGAGCACACAATAAAATCAGGAGAACTACGAATTGAGTTTAAAATCCAATTGAGAAATAGATACAGAGACATACTGTTATAATCTAAAACAAGCTCATTAAACATCCTTCCACTGGGCTCCTGACCCACATACTGATGAACAATATCAGATCCAAGCTCACTCAGGGCGATGGCATAATTCATTGGCTTCCCTGATGACTGGATGGTGAAGGGGATCTCAGTGTCACCTATGGAACACCTGAAATCACAAGCTATAAGTTAGACTGGGCCATGTCAAGATTCAGGCATCGCAATGTTTCGGTACATTAATGTTTTATATTTAGTACTGCATAAATTCGCAATTAGTAAGTTCCATTTTTTATAATTATTTCTCAATATCAATAGATGTGATTGTTTTCTGATTAAGTCCTGCCTAAACTAATAGAACTGGAACTCTTGTTTTACAGTTCCTCCAGATTCCAGTGTCATTTCAAAATAGACAAATGTAATAAGATTTATATTTAAATATTTTTCTAATGTTGAGTCTTCTAATCAATAATCTTTAAATGATAAATCAATTACGCAATTTATCAAAAATATTGTTTTATAAATATGTCAATCTTACTTTTTCTAATAGAGTAAAAAATTCTACATAAAACTTTCAAAAAATATTTCTTATCAGGTACAACAATTCAAATCATTACAAAACAAATTTTAGAAATTAAAGGGAAAAAAAAGCAAACTTTTGAAAGTTGGTTAAATTAATTATTGTTTACTCCATTTTATCTTCAATAAAATGATAAATAAACAATTCAAAGCTGTTGAAGAATAAATTTAATCACATTTAACTGAAAGAACTTTTTTTTTACACTAGCATGAAATCAGAATGCCCTGACTGTATGCTCAATTTGACCGCAAAAAGACTATAATTGCAAATAAATCCTTAACTTCAGTGTTGTTTTCTATCAGTGTTACTCTCTATCTATGTAAGTTGATAATAAACATATCATTCTCCGATTTTACTGATTTTCAAATTCCATTACAATCACAGCAGAGTGTGATTCTAAAACATTGCTTAGTCTATATCTAATAACTAGCAGCTGAGTAAAAATAAATTCAGGACTCTTTATTGCTTGAGGGTTTTTATTTTGTTTATTCGAGCAAAGGCAACCGTACCCCGCAATGAGTAAGTTTGGTGTTCTTTCCTTTGATGGAACTAATTTTCCATCGTGCAGGGTATCTGCCAAAATTAAGAGTTTTTAAATCCTATCAAACTAATCCCAATTTTAAATCCTATTAATTCTATCAAACACTTTGCATGACAGGTAAATACTTTGCTCGATAAAGTTGAAAGAAGATCTCTAAACACACAAGTATAACTTTCCTTCTCGAAGAAAATATTGTTTTATCTGAGCAATGCTTTGCACACTTTTTTAATAAATCAGTTTAAACCAAAGCAATAAAAATGACTAAACTACTAAACAAACTGAGAAAAAAAAAAAGAAAAAAAAAAACAATTTGGGGTAACAAACATACTATAGTCCGTTCAACGAGAATTGAGAGTGGAAGTAAACAAAAGGGTTGCTGTTTGATCGCCAACGTTTGCCACTTTAACGGTTTCTTCGCTGAATGGGCAATTTCATTTGAATCGACAGAGCTTTCGCTATTATAGAAAAACGAAAACGATGTTTGGTTTTTGATACCTTAAAATTAGATAAGAAAGTGCAAAATTAAAATATTTTCATGAAAATACGTTTCTAAGTGTTTCAGTAAACACATAATTTTATTTTAAGAATAGTTTTAATATATATTTATATTTCTTTAAGTTTTGATTAAATTAGTTTTAATATATTTTGCATAAATATCTATGAAAAACATAACTTTTATAATTCCATCGTAAAAGTCGTATAGAATTGAAAGTTATGTTAAAAAAATACTCTTTTATTTTCATAATTACAATTTTTTTTTAAAATTTATTAGAAGTTAAATAATATTTAAAATAGTTTTATGTTTCACCGATTGATTTAAAAATATATTAGAAGGAACTGCATTTATTTGTATTTTTAAATTGTTAATTATCTTTATTTTTCTAAGGGAAGTATTACGAAAATAATTACACTAAAAGAAACTTGGAACTTTTTTGTATGTCTCACAAAATCTTTTGTTAAGAAAAATATACCCACTTAACCTATAAAAAAAAGCAGTTTGTAAACCTCGAATTCAATAGGTTTTTGAAAAAATAGAATCAAGTGTCAAAATTATTTAATTTTACGTAACATTTGAATTTCTGTACTTAATTAACAACTGTACCGATAACGAAAATAATTATATTAAACTACTCAGAAAAGAACAAAATTTTAAGAATTACTGTATTAATGATCAATTAATCATGGATAATAACGAATAATTATATCATTAAAAAGTAAAAATGAATCCTCGTCGTTTGAATTGATATTTATTTTGAATGCACTTCCGTTTTATAAATGTTCAATATTATTTCTTTCTCAGCTTTACTTATGTAAGATTTCTTCTGTCGTTTTTTAGGAGGACTTAAATCCATCGCTTTATTTTCCATATTACTCATGAAACACTTACAAAAAGACACCACGGCGAAACAAACAACCCTCTAAAAATAAGAGTTTTTGCTTGTCTGATAGGCGCTATTTGTCATTATTCCGGCGCCAAGTAGACAGCTGTATTGCGCCAAATAGCACGCCACTTTGTTTACTTTCGCTATCAGTTCTCGTTGAACAGACTATAGTTATAAAATGGATTTAAAAATATTTAATAATGCCTTTTAAGGTCAATTCTGTAGATTATGTTAATTTAATTTCAAAGAAACAAAAGTATCAACATCATTCCATGCACTATCAAATTACTATAGATATAAATAAATATAAACACACATTTCTAGATCAGGCTTTGCAAGTGAATATGTAATGCGGAAATTTGGCATCCCGCAAGATAATGAAGAGCTCCAATAGCTAAAAATCCATGATGAACTGAGAGTTTTCATGAATTTTTAGTATTTATCACTGAAAATCACGATTTTCAATGACTTTCAAAAGGGCAGATACCCTGGATGTTGTGTAGGTGGATACAAGCCATATTTTCTTTAAAAGAATTAGAGATGTTTTTAGAAACTGAATAAGCCAAAGTCTTAAAGTCAAAGAAAGCCTTGCTGGTTTGCTCCTTGAAGATCCAAGTCCCAATCTCCCTTCCCAGTGAGAAGAATCACATAATAAACGTTTTGTAAAAAGAAAATAAACAAAAATAACCAACAATAAAAAAAAAATCCCAGCCATATTTATTTAGAGATTTCATGTTTTTTTTTAAGAATAAATGCGAGAAAAATATAAACTTAGCATTGAAAAATACCTTTGTCCATCCACTGTGCATATTGTGACTCCCCAATAATCAGGATTGTATTTAGCAAGCTGAGGAATGTATGAAGCAACCTAAAAAAATACAATTTTAAGCTTTTCAGTAGTTAAAAAAAAAAACCCCCTCTAAAATGTTGATTTTTAATTTTATTACAGAGATACCAACTTTTCAAACTACCCTAGCAGCAAAATAACTTGGACCCTCATGGGGTCAATATTTGTGAATCTGGGCTCAATAATTGCTCAAAAGGCCGCTATTTTTATGATATTGGCCCTATATAGAATTTTCCAATTCAACAGATATCGGTTCTATATAGAATTGTCAGATTCACCCGATATTTCATATCTATTATTGAGCCAATATCGGTTCTATATTGATCAATGTAGGCCATTCTAGGACCCATATTAAAGAACCTAGACTTCCCAATATGAGTCCTCGGTTCATGTTCTTATAGGATGATGATTCTCATGTTCTTATTCCGCACAAAAAAGGGCACTCACTTTTAACTGTTAAAATGTATAAAAATATGCTAATATTATGGAATAACCAAATCTGATCATCAATTTTTAAATTAACCTCTTATACTATTTTATATGCATGTTTCACAAAGTCATTCCTTATCACTTTAAAAATTTAATGCTTTTGAAAAATAACTAAGGGCAAGCTAAAAGATAAACTCTGAGAATATATGTTCAAAAAGAAAAAAAAAAAGGATCAACTTATTAAGAATTTAAAAGATTTTTTAAAAATATTTTAAACTGAAAATTGCAAAAAATAAACATTTAAAGATGCATTTTTAAATAAAAAGTATTTATTTAAGGGGTCTGACAAGGGAGACTAGGGAAGTGTAACTCGCCAATTTTGACATAAACTAGTGGGATGTATGCCTTATGAGGAATAATTTTAGGGGGCAACATTCGTTTCGGCCCATAGAATGCCCTATGAGAGATAAAAAAATAATTAAATATATAGAAAAATCGGTATTTTATTACTTCAATGCAGACTAATAGTTATTGTAATTATCTTATACTCCAATTAATTTTGTGGTACTTTCACGTATAATAACTTCTGTCTCATTATAAGCTAGGGAACAAAACGTATTTTTCAAGTATTGCCGAAATACTGCTTAGAAAGGAACATCTTTGGTATATATTAAACATCATCTTGTATCTATATTAAACTTTGATTTCTGGAAAATACACTTCTTTTAAGACTTCGATTTTTGTCAAAAATGCTTTCTTATATTTCAACTCTTATATAAATGAAATTTATTACTGTTCACTTGTTTTTATACTGGAAAATTAAAAAATTTTTTTTTTTTTAAATTTAATGCTAATTTTTTTTAAAAATTAACTTAGTTTCAGAATAGCTCCTTGTTGTTAATTTAGTTTCAGAATAGCTCCTTGGAAGAGGAGATTTCTTTACTCTTTGTTTCTTGTTATTATAAAATCATTTTTGTTTTTTAATTATTGATTAAAGAGTAAAAAATTAACATAGATTATTTGTAAACAATGAAAAGTCATAACAATGAGTAATTATTGAAAATAAAAAAAAATTATATTATTAACAGATTGTTACATAAAATTTCAAATACAATAATTTTAATTATTCAACCGTAATCTTGACTATGAAATCGTAATAATTACGGATACATAACAGTCAGCCCCTCTTTTATCATTAGCGTTGTGATGTCAGCTGAGGTCACCTTTCGTCATTATTAACGAATCAATGACGACAGCCTGAAGTTGCTGAACAGCAGCGCTGCCTCACCGATCCAGAGAGCATATAAACATGTTACTAATAGATGCTCATCACTAATCTTTGTTACTTAATGCTAGCATGTTATTTGTTATGTTCTGTTGGTTTATTAAATATATTTTTTAAGTTAGCATGTTTTGTCAGAATGCACAAAGTCTAACAATTAGTATTAAAGAAAATTATATTTTACCATTGCATAAATAATGCTCATAAGTTCTTTTAAAAATCTTATCATTTGCTTACCTTACCACTGGTGTTAACTTTACATTTCCAATAAAAATCTTCAATGCACTTAACAAAATCAGGAAAATCTTGAATTACAAAATGATTGCGAAAAGCTCTGCTTATCAGGACGATATTTTCTTTTATTACTCTGCAAATATATTAATTCATTATATGATTATTACAATACCATTTTTATGCAATTAGGTATTAAAATATAGAATTTAATATTTAAAAACATTGTTGGAAAATGAACCCTTTTGACCTGAACGGGACTTATACGTCCCAAAGATTAAACTTTATTCCCTTATGGATAAACAGATCCCAATTTTGCATGGATTTTTATGTTTTCAGGGTTCTTTAGGCATTGCCCTATTTTGTGTAAAATAGTTATGTTTGTTTCTATTAAGTAATAATTGCACCTATTTAGCATCAAATTTAGGATACATTGACCCAATCGTACTTACCAATAGAACAATATATGCCATTGGAGATGAAAATATAAGACAAAATTTTAGTTTTTGTATTGATTATTTTATAACAGCAACTTCTGGTTTCTATAACTTCTGGTAAGAATAAATAATTTAATGCATTTATATTATTTTAACTGTTTATACCCATGCAATATATAGGTGTTTTTACAATGTTCAAGACAATTGGAACAGATTGTTCGAGATTTCTGGAAAAACCTTATATTCATAGTATACTTACTTTAATATGTCAGCATTAACATAAACTGCTTTTCATACTTAAATTTTAATGCAGCAAAAATCAGGTCGAAAGGGCTAATTATTCAAAAGAAAATTAAAACTTTACTTCAAACTTATGACATTGATTCCATAGCTTTTTAATTTCCCAGAGGAAGAGCTTGATAAATCAGTTTTAAAGGTTCTAACTTATCGTCATCGGTTAAAAGGAATATTTCCCATTATTTAAATTATCTTTTTAAATGACATTAACATATCAGTTTTTACAATTATGTTGAATACCAATGGGTATGGATCACTATAAATAAACTTACAATTTGCAACTGTAGTAGGTTTTATTTTGTTTTATAACTGTCCTTGAATATCCAACCCAATTTTTTGGGTTTACGACTACTCATGTTCAACTCCGTAACCTTGTAATTTTGAATCCAATACTGAAGACAAGGGAAATCTTGGATCAAGTAATGGGAGAAATTTTGCCCTTATGGAAGGCTTTTTAATGAAACTAACTCACATTTGAGTTAAATGGAGAGGAAAACCATGAAAATCTCCCACGGTTAGCTTAACGGCAAAGGGACTCAAACCCATGATATGTCTAGCACTGAGGATATTTTACGCCAGCACAAGCTGGATGCGAAATTCTTATCAACCAGCCATCACTGGAATTCGAGCCTGGTTCACCTCATAGGAGGGCAAATGCTCTATCCCCTGAGCCATCGCAGCTCAAGTGTAGTAGGTTTGAATAAAATCAGGTTTGGTTACAATTTGATTTAAAAGGAATTATTCTTTAAGAATCAGATTGACTCTATTATAGCAGCCAGAATGAGAAATTGATTTGCGCCAAACATGATTTAGGTTTATTAATATTAACAAGCTACTTGGGCAGAAGAGAGCTGTAAGAATCCTGGAGCAGTAAAAGGAACTAAATAATCACAACCAACAACTAACAAATCACAACCAACTTATATTATTAAATTTGACTTATACAGTGATTCTGCTAAACTTTGAAAACTACTGTCCTTAAGACACAGGATTTTAAAATTCTTTTTTTGAAATAAAAATTTGTCCGTATTGGAAATAGCATAAAAAATTTAAAACATAAAAAAATTCTTCACAAAATAAAATAAATTTGCACTTCAGGTAACGTTACACACAACAGACAATTATGAATATATATTGAATGAACTAAATGAGGCTGACTTTTTGAAGCTTTCCCTATCTAAATTTATTGCATCAGGAGATCCCATATCTCTCAATTCCTTGTGTATTGCTCTTAATTTCATAATCATTTCCTTCAGTCGAGGATCACTCTTTCTTAGGCCAGTAGCTGACAGAGCCTGCGAATAAATAAAATAAATAAATACTTCATTTTTTTTACAGAAAACAAAATGATAATGATAGATATTAAGAAGAAAAATGTGAAGCTGCTTCTTCTTCAGATAGGGGCTATTACACTGATCTGGAGTAAAAATTCTTCACCGCTCTTCTGCCAATCTACCAACTTTTGACAATGGCACTAATAGGAACTAATCCGAGCAAGAGTTCAGTTCAGTAGTAGTAATTTTATTCAACCAATGTGAATTGTTCAGTTAACTTTGATTAACTGTCATAGAACAGCCGACACAATTTTGAGTTTACGACTACCAATGTTTAACTCTGTAACCTTGTAATTTTAAACCGAATCCAGAAGACAAGGGAATTCCTGGATCAAGTTTTGGGAGAAGATTGCTTTTTTGGAGAACTTTTTGATGGAACTAACATACATTTGAGTTATATAGGGAGAAAAATCACGAAAACCTAAGCTAACTTTTGTACAAAATCTAACTTTTTGATGGAACTAAGATACATTTGAGTTACATAGGGAGGAAAATCACAAAAACCTAAGCTAACCTATGATTTGTCTACCTCTGAGAATATTTTACATCAGCAGTGTGGTCAATGTGAGCCAGATGTGGAATTTGTATCGACCAGCCATTGCTTTGATTCAAACTTGGGTCATTTAATTTCGAAGCAAGTGCTTTATCCTCTGAACCACAATGGCTCTCTGGTCAACCTTAATCTTAAAAAAACATCAGCATAGGGCAGGTATTCACAACATATGGACCACAGAACATTTTGACTTGAAACAAGCTCTGTATAGATAAGTTATTGACATAGTTGGCAGTATTTCTCTAAGCAACAGAATTTCATAATTAAAGCTCTGTTTATGGAAACGGTTTAGAGATTGTAAGGAAATGTAATTACTTGAAAATTCATACAAATAAATTCAAAAGGAAAATAACAGTTCAAAAGTCTATTAGATAAATAGAAAAAAATTTATTAAAATTCTAATAACAGTAATCACATTTATCTAATAATATACTTACAACAAATTTTTCTACGTAAGGGAAAGTTAACTTTTAGAATAAATATAAGTTTAAGTAGATTTTTTTCTTTGTATTCCTATTAATTTACAATGTGTAGTCTTAATAATTGTTTAAATTTATTTTGCTTCATTATTTTTATTATCTGAACCAGAATAAAAGATTAATTATACATTTATATCTCATTCAAAATACTTTCAAACAAAATCTAAATGTACCCAGCATTCTCATAAATACAGCATTATGTTAATAATGGTCCCCACACATTGTGACCGCTATCCAAAAGTGTTAGTTCATCCCTGGTGTAGGGTATACTGAGCAATAACATTAAAGGCAAAAACCTTTAAAAAAAGAACTATCATTGTAGGGTACTTGATTTCAAAGATTTTGTTTTTAATTCCTCACCAGAAAAAAAATTGAAATTCTGAGGAAAATTTTAAAACATTACACAACGACTGTGGTCATGATGATTATCAAAAGTAAAAAATAAATAACAAAAAGTCAAGTGAAAAGTATGCTCTCTGTGATTGATCGAAATTTGGTTTGGCACAATAGCAAAATAAATTTTATAGAACCGAACTACAAGTGTGATTGACAATCTGTTTTTTAAAGTGGTTTGTAAAAATCGGATTAGTTTCATTTTTTTGACCTGGTGAATACATAACAATCCAGATTCTTTAATGACACTTAATTAAAACAAATTTAAACATAAAAACTAGAGCACCAGAGAATTATAGCGAATATCAACATATCCTATACTTACAGCGAGAAATTTCCCAACTGCAACTTTACCATCAGGATCTTTAAACATATCAAATAATATATCATCCACATTTTTTTCTGTTATGGCAGGACTTTCACTGAAAAGTATTTGGAAAAGTTATCGACTTAATATAATAATACATATATTTAAGCTATACAACCCTCTCAATAGGTTCATTTGCCCAGGGTGTGCTGGAGATTTCTTTTAAAAAAAATATTAATCAATGCAGGGGTCTGTTTAGAAGAAATTTGGGTCTGTTAACGGACCCTTCACAAAATATTATTTCATAAAAACGGACCCTTCCAAAAATATTTTAACTTAAAAACGGACCCTTCAAAAAATGATTTTTCTTTTAATCAGACCCTTCACAAATTTGTTTATCTTCATTATTATAGAAAGATGGATGTAAACGAATTAAGTTTTGTCTTCGACAGACGATTCTTCCATTATTCGTCCGAAATGAATATTCTGCGTTCAGCAGTATAAGCTAAATACCAAATATTTGTATGTTGCATCTCTAATTTAGAAGCAGCAATTGTTGTTTATTTTTTAAAATTTAATTTTTTTAATTATAATTTTATAGTGTTGAGCATAATCTTGTATGTCTTCACAATTTAAAAACTCCTTGAAAAATTTTTCTTTGCAATAACAGACCCTATTTGCACAAATTCATAAAAGCGGACCCTGCTTGAAAGAATGTAAGTAATTTTTTCACAATTTCAAGGAAAACGGACCTTTCACAAAATGTCTGGACAGACTCCTGCAATGGTCAGAAAGTATTTCAAGATTAATTCCCATCAGATATCAATATAGAGGTGAAATATAATAAGGCGAACATAACACAATAACTCTAACACTCATTATGAAACAACATAGATGAATAGAACAAGAGTGTATTTTCAACCTTCTGTTTCTTCTTGTTATTTCAATGGAAGATAATCGATGCTGGAATTTAAAAGCTAAAAACTTAAAATTATTGGGCAATATTAGGATGCAGAGAATAAAAGGGAACACCCAACTGTGGGGACTTTATGTTTGAGAGAAAGAGAGATGAAGAAATATAACAGAGGCTTGCTCTATTTGTATTTCAGTTCTATGAGTATATCATTACAATTAATTACACTGATTATGACACTGTGATCATCATAGCACATCTGAAGCAGGGGGAGCTTCAAATCTCCTATGGGGATCGAATAACAGTTCGATGCTTTACCCTTACTTACAATGAGTTACATGAATTACCAATCCGCACTCATGGATCAAAATAATCAAATATAAAGTTGTTAAATCAGTAATATATTGGTGGACAGATTAACATAAAGTGAGAATGGCAGCAACATGAATTTTTCATTAAAGCTAATGAATTACGCACTAATTAATGATACTGGCAAATTCTTAATTTCATTTGGCAAAATAGAAATTTTCTTCTTCCGAAAAATATAAGTTCATTACGATCCTGGGTATTATCCAAATAATGAAATTCAAGGGACAACTAGTAATGATAATTTCTAAAAATTTTTTTAATATTTTGACGAAAAATTAAAGTTTTCACTAATTTTCGTAATGTTTCTGCAGGTTTTTACCTTAAGCTTACACTTCCATTTTTAGTTTTGGTCTTTCCATCTTTGTTCGTGACTTTAAATTCATCCGCCGGCATAAATGTGCGGCTGGCATGCGAGGAGATCGGCCGAGAGCCGTGTACATTTCGAAATACATTATGCAAAGGAAATCTACCAATTGAAATTGAGTTTTGAATCCATCCCCACGGCAAAAAGCTTTCATTTCTTAATCGCAAACTTCGAATCTGAGAACATTTCTTCCTGAAACAGATGATACGAAAACTGGCACGACAGAGAAGCATTAAAGAATTGTACGTGAATTATCGGTACTCTTAATTGAAGATTAAAAATTTAATTATTTTTCGAGAGTGATTTCAAATAATGCAATTCTATCTCAAGAAATTTTTATCTCAAATGTCACTAAAATAGGCTGTTTTACAGGTTTCGTTTTGTTTACTTTTCTTTTTAAATGGATCAGTTACGGTGATGAGCAATAATTAATGAATTGACACAAACAAATCTTGTATAATATTAAATTTTCCGCTCTGTTGTTCCGTTGCAATAGAATTAAAAAAGAAAATTTATTTCTTTTTCAATATATAAATACATTCATTTTGTACATGGGATATTTTGTTACTTAATACGCACTGTCTTGGCTGACCGCCCTCTTATAACCCTAAACTTTGGCGATCTGGTGAAATGGGTGATTGCCAAACGAAATCTATCGCCAACTGCTTGGATGNCGGTCAGCCAAGCAACAGCCTACTTAATAACAAAATAATCGAGTTGAATGGGTTGAAAATTCTTTGCTACATAATAGCTTACTTAAATATTGATTATGATATGCTTTGAGTTTTTTAAGATCAAAAAGTTTAAATTTTTGCCACTTTTGATTTCGCAGCTGTATGTCTTTCCTCTCACAACTCAACGCCTGTGAATATTTTTTCATAAATTATTGTTTGTTTTTTTAAATGGCGGTACTCGCGCGATAGTTATTTTATTGTTGTTATGGAACCGGTGATTTTCCTGTCAGTGCAATAGACTAACTGGAATTTCCACATTTAAACTCATTTTTGATGTTTTCTTATTTAACAAGCAGTTACTTTTTATTTTCCTTTGTTTGCTGAGATGGATAACTCCAACGAACCTGATAATTGGATACCAACTTCTTTTCCGTCCACTCCTGAAGCTACAGAAGGAGATTCTATGAGTTCCTTTCATTCAGCTGCAACTCCTGGATCAGCAGCTGTTGATCTTCAGTCTGATGATCAGTCATTTGATGCTGTTAGCCGTCAAAAATTGAATCTGACCATTCATACTAGTCCACGAAGTCCAAGAATTCCTGGTATGTCCATGTTTGAAGAAGATACCCGTAGTTCATGGAGTGTTGAACCAAAACCAACTCAATTGAGAGAATCAGTTTTAGAGGATGATTCTCGAAACAGCACTGACAGCCAAAAATGTAGGAAAGAAGTTTCGAATATTATAGAATCAATCCCTGATACCGAGAAAGAGCTTGTTAAAGAATCTGATAATAGTAGTAGTAAAGATAGTCCTGTGAAAGATCTTAGTGCTTGGAATGTGAAGTCCAATTTATCTAATACAGGAGATAAAGATGACCGGGATACATGTATACTTGATTCAAATCCCCTTGATACATCAGTTGAAAATAAGAGCCCTGATGCTGACATAAATGAAAACAAATTAGATGCAGATTTAAATATTGACCAATCAAACCTTAACTCTGGCATGAATGTGTCTGATGAAATTTTGCCTTCTGATAACATTGATGATGACTCTAATGCCAATAAGTTGGCAACAGAGTTATTTAATGTTGACAGATCAGATGCTTCTTCTAACATTGAAGAGGTTGATTTTAGTACTAGAAAACGAGATTCTGACTCTTTTGTTGAAACATTAGAGTCTGTCTCAAATGTTGAAAAAGTAGATTCTTATATAGAAGATGTTAATTCTAATAGTTGTGTATTAGATGCAGAATCAAATAAGGAGAGCTTTGATAGATCAGAGGCTGATTCAAACTATGACAAACTAAATGCTGATTCAAACATGGATAAACTCTATACTGATTCCAATGATAAGCTAAATACTGACTCCATCATTGATAAATTAGATACTAATCCAAACTGCGTTAAATTAGATGTGCACAAAAATATGGACAAAGAAGATAGTATTGATTTAAATATTAAAAGTATAGAACCTGATTCAAATCTTGAAAAACAAGAGTTGGAGTTGAGCAATGAAAAATTAGAGCTTGACTTGAACAGTGAAAAATTAGAACCCGATTCAAATAATGAAAATTTAGAGCCCTGCGTAAGCAATGAAAGATTAGACCTTGATTTAAACACTGAACAATCAGAGGCTGATTCAAATGTTGAGAGACAAGAATCAGATTTAAATGTAGAAGAATTAAGATCTGATTCAAATATTGAAAAGTTAGAGGCCAATTCTTCTGTCGGAAAAATAATTTCTGATTTGAATATTGAAAGATTAGATGAGGATTCGAATATTGAAAAATTAGATGAGGATTCAAATATTGAAAAATTAGATGAGGAATCAAATATTGAAAAATTAGATGAGGATTTAAATATTGAAAAACTAGATGAAGATTCAAATATTGAAAAACTTAATGGTGATTCAAACATCGAGAGACTTGGTTCAAATTTAAATGGGAAAAAACATGATGCTAATCTAAGTAATGTCTCAGTTTGTGAAAAAGACAGTGTATGGAATGTTGATTCAGCTCAAGTAGAATCTAAAGAAGTTCCAATGGATGAGGAATCTCAGAATCCACCCACAAGTTTAGAACCCCCAGCAGAAAAAAGTGTATGGAATTTTAAAAAAGCGGAAGATATGAAAGACCCCCTAATGGATGAAGATTCACAAATGAGCACAAGCAGTCGCAAAAGCTGCGGAAAAATATTAGAATCTTCCAAAAGAGCAATCTCTCCTACAGTCTTACCATCTTTGGATGAAGAGTCACAGAGTAGTATAATTAGTCAAAAAAGTCATTGTAGTCAGAAAAGCCACAGCAGTCAAAAAAGTTCCAAGCGTGCCAGATGCTCTGATGACGAAGTGAATGCTTTTCTGCCCGAAAATTTATTTGAGTACATGTGGCCTCAAGAAAATGGAGAATTTTTTATATTGCAGGAACAGATTTGCGATTATTTAAATATCAAGTCCTTTAAGCGGAAATACCCAGATTTAGCCAGAAGATCTGTCGACATGGACGAGAAACAGTTTCTGAAAGATAAGGGAGTTGTTACCGAAATGCAATGCGATTTGGGACTCACGGCATTGAGATCTGACGAAGTCTTAGAGCTGATGAGCAAAGATTATCCAGATCACTATAAAGATTATATCAGAGTTTTGAGAGAAAAGGAAAAACAAAGTATCACTGATAAGCACAAGGAGTTCGTCGCCACCAATTCCGACAAGACGAAGATGGTGGATTTGGTGAAAAAAGCCATGCAATCTGCGGCTGAATACAACGCTCACCTGAATCAGGAGAGGAGAGAAGAAAGGAGATCTTGTATGGACTTGCAAACTTATACGATACACTATCCAGTCAAAAAATCAAATAAACCAAAGCCGAACACGAAGCCCGGGAAGTATCCCGTCGCTCTCCTTCCTGGTCAGTTCCAAGATTATTATAAGGAATACACTCCTGCCGAACTGAAGTACCTCCCTGTCAACACGGTCTTGTATGGACCCCTCAAAGAACTTCAAAGTACCAAAGCTCTTTCTGATGGAAGTCAGTCAGACTCTGAAGACAGTTCTGCTTCCGAAGGATCTTGCAGCTCGAGTCAAGGAACGGCAGACGACAGCAGCTCTGGATCCGAGAAAAACGAAAACGGTAAAACGCCTTCGGATAAGAACGGCACGGCCGCCGAAACGACGGCGTACCGGCCGAAGGTGAAGCCGAATGCTGTCTGCAAAGTCTGTAAGAAAGGAGCAGAAGGTAAACCAGACGAACTCGTTCATTGCTCCGAATGTGACAACAGTGCACATCCTTCTTGTATCGAATTGACGACCGAAGTCGTGGACGTCTTGAAGACGTATCCTTGGCAGTGTATGGATTGCAAAGTGTGTTCTCATTGTAGCGATCCTAATGATGAAGATAAGATGCTGTTTTGTGACTTCTGTGATCGGGGTTATCACACATTCTGTGTGGGTTTAAAAAACCTTCCTCAAGGAAAGTGGGTGTGCCGTCGATGTGGATCTTGCTCAATATGTGGTGCAACAAAACCAGGACCTGAGACTTCAAAAGCCCAATGGTTGTACGATTCTGCGAAAGGAGTGGTAGAACTAGATGCAAATCGTAGGCCAAAGATCATGTGTCAATCTTGCTTTAAGAAAAAAAGATAGCTATTACATTTAAGCAATAGTAAAAATTTCAACTTGGGTACAACAAAAAATGTTTTACTTAATTGTAAATCTGTATTTAAATTTTATTCAATCAACTGATTAATTTAACTTTTGGGGGTAAATTCTTTTGTTTGATAATATAGCACAGGTTTAAATTGATGTCTTAGCATTCTTATGCAATAATTTACTCTCTCTTAGTGTGTTCACGAATGTGGGAAAACTTATGTGAAAATTCTGTGGACAATTTAAATTTTATGCAAAGTTCAATCAACTGATTAATTTAACTATTGTCTAACCTCTTGTATTCTTTAGTACCTACTGATTTAAAGTGATATCTTTGTATTAGTATTAATTTAGTCTCCTTGTGCATGCTGAGCAGTATTCTCCCTAAGCTTGTTGAGAAGGGCCCTCTATGACCTTTTCATAAAAATAAGCCCTTAAAATCTCTGCTTTTTTATTCATATACCATTTTAAAAAATTTATTATTGTTTAAATAATAATTACACACTGGTTAAATTGTATGTGTTTATATTCTGATTGGTATTACAAATATTTATATTGATGAGATATTCTCAACTGCTTAAATTTTTTTGTTTCTATTTTTTTTTCGGAGGGAGGTATATTATGAATTTTTTATGTGACTTCAAAATAATTTTTTAAGTAAATACCTTTTTTTAAATAAAAAAAAATTCACCTTTTAATCTTAATTTTCTCATAATTCAGTTTGAATTGTAGAAAAAATTTGCAAGCTGTATATCAATTAGTCATTTTTTGTTTTTGTTTACTTTTTTAAAGAAAACAATTTGTGCACAGTGCAAGCCTTTGATAATTTTTTATAAACTACAAATTATTTGTTATAGAGTGAGAATTACTTTTTGAAATACACACATGTATTGTATAAGAGGATAATTTAATAATTGTTGAGGATCAAATTAGGTTATTAAATAATATTACACATTTTGATATTGTGTTATGTGAGTGTCCTTTCAAAACTCTAAGTGCCCTTTTATGTGAAGAAGCGCACCTGCTGTTTTTTATTCTCTGTGATCTCAGTGTTTAGAAAAAATTAAAATTCTAATGACAGTTTTAAATACTTTTACTTCTTATATGTTTTTTAAAGTAAAAATTTTTTTTTAATGTATATTCCCCCCACCCCCATCTTATCTAAGAAAATCATAAACGTGTGAGGCAATCACTGAGTTTCTTCAGCACTTATTAATACACTACAATATAACAACATTAAAATCAAAGTGTTTATTTTGTTAATAATTTTTAATTATTTGATTAAAAAGAATTGTTTTTTAATTAATAAAATATAACAATATCTCTTTCTTAGCAATGTATTTCAAGTTTATTTATGTAAGAACAAAAATAGTTGATTTTAACTTATATACTATGTTTTTTTTTCCTAATAATTATACTATTAAAACGTTATGTATATGCCAATTTAAAAAGTAAAATAAAGTCTTAAGTTTTAAACACTAAATCTATTAATATTTACGTATTCATATGGTGTTAAAAAAATGGAATAGATTTTGTTACATGTTATCAAAGTTCTTGTTTTAAAAAACAAAGAAACAAACAAACTTGCATTTGATGAAAAATTAACGCAGACATTGTATTAAAACATTTTATCAAACCTTAGCCATCGAAACGACTGTTCTATCTATAAGTACTAAAGCATTATTTGTACCATAGTTCCTGATTATCATTATAAGTTGCTCAAATGGCATGCTTTCGTCAATTAAAAATCTAACTCTTTATTCTTATAAAATTGTGATCTGTAAAAATTGCAAAACATGTTGGAATATTCTTATATAATTCTCTATAGAAAAATTTGGCGAGAATCGAGCAATGGACACAAGAAAAATATATATATATAGAAAGAGACTAATTGGCAACCACTATTTCATGATTTTGTTCTAAGAACGAGGCAATTAAAGTTAGTGTCATGGAAGATATCTCTTAAATATCAGTTGAATCTTACATACTTTTAATCATTGCACCAGTTTTATATCTAATAAATATGTTATATATTTATTTAATTTCAAATCTTAAAATAAATTGAAGCAAGTACATTTTTTTGAAATTAGAGCATACTTCTGCTATTGAACTAAGCTTTATTTTTGAACATAACAGTATTACACTGTGTATGAATCAATGTATCTTCAGGCCTTGTGGTCTGCATGACTAGTAACTTTAAATTAAGATTACTAATGTGATGAAGAGAAATAATGTTTTCTGCTACCAGAATTATTTTCTTCACTAGAGAATTTGCATTCTGGATGGCGACTAATAACTTAAATTTAAGTTCTTGATTTTTGGCATTTTTGCTGCATTATAGTAAGGTGTAGTTGCTAGATTATCAGAATATAGCTATGGAAATATGGCAGTATTTTCATCATTATAACTATAATGCGAAGTTTAGGAGGGTAAAAAATGCTTAAGATGAGTAACAAATCTCTCAATAATTTTATTTATTCCAACTTTTAATTTATGTATAACTGAATCTAAAAGTACTTAATATTTTTACGATAATTGAAGTAAAATGATTGATTACTTTTACTATAACTATTATATTTCAATTGTTCATCCTTAATTGTAAAAGACTGAACACTATGTTCGAGATATACAAGTTTAAAGTTTCACATTTTGATTTCAGAATGTTTTGTGGATATTGTTTCTATTAGTTAACCAACCTACAACCTATATATGTACAGCAAAACCTCCAGGATAGACCACTTCTATTTACGACCACTTTTGGGAGGCAGGGAATTTTTTCAATAGACTTGGTGTTAAAGAAAACCTTTAGGAGAAACGAGCGACCACACAAACATCTGCAGCAAAGGTCAAATAAGGCAAAACAAGTTGCATTTCTGCACCCCAAAAAAAAAATGACACTGACTAAAATTAAAATAGTTTTCAAAAAAATCTTTTACCCTCGATAATAATTTTGAAGTCAATGGAGATAACCTCTAAGAACAACCAACCTCCATCTACAATAATTTTATTGTGGAACAGAGAGTAGTTCACTGTATATATAATATCAATTACTGTGCTATTTCATTGGTTATTGTAAATATTTATGCTTTATATTTTCATTACGATTTGTTTCAAAAAGGTTTTTTGCAATACATTTTTTGTGCACTATTTGTTGTCATCATGTAAATTTTAGAACTCATTTTTCCTTTTAAAGGATGTCATATGTATGGTAGTTTACATGACTCAGTTCAATATGTAAATATATTTATAAATACATTTGTTCAAAGATTGATTTATTAATCACACAACGCAGAAAAGTATTTGATACCATGCTATCCCTGTGGCAGAATTCTCTCTAGTACTGATACTTTTCTGAAAGACATTTTGAATTACTAATTGTAAGTAATACAAGTGCAAAAAGAAAAAGCCTTCATGTTTAGAATAGAACAGTGTATAATTTTTTTTAAATATACATATAAAAGAATACATATTCTAATACAGTGAATTCGCGATAACTCGAATCTGATAGGACTGACGAAAAACTTCGACATATCGGAAGTTCGACTTACCGTTAGTTTCGTTTTGGACTTTCAAAATATTGTCGGATTATTTAATTAATGCTTATTAATAATTTTTCTGACAAGCCATTTACGATAAGACTGTTTGAAGCACTTTATGATACCCTGGTCCATCGGCTGCAACTTTGAAGGGAGAAACTGCAAGTTTACTGCTTTCAAATTAGGTAGATCACTATGTGCTGTGCTTTTATCCATAAAGAGTATCACTTTTCTTTTTTTAGCGAAGAATTTCCGATCCAATTTTCTTACATAGTCTTCAAATAAAACTGATGTCATCCAAAACTTTTTGTTAGACTTGTAATCCAAAGAATATGTTTTTACATTCTTGAAACATCGGGGATTTCGGTTTTTTCCGATAACAAGTAAGTGCAATTTCTCTGTCCCAGACGCATTTGCTCCAACTAGGACAGTCAAACGTTCCTTGCTCATTTTACCCCCTGAGCAGTTTTCATCCTTAAACATCATAGTTTTATTTGGAAGACATTTAAAAAATAAACCCATTTCATCAATATTGCAAACATCATTTTAACTGTATCATTGAAGTAAATTAGGTAACGTTTCATTTAACCATTGTTCACATACTTCAAGAGGAACAGCTTTATCTTCTCCATGAAGAGTGCGAAAGACATTGTGTGTGTGTTGCAAAGGAAGGGGCAAGATATTAGTTCCTAGGTTTTTTTTCTTGATTTAAAAGATTAAAAAAAAATCGAGTTAAAAGGAGTAAAATTCGAGTAATCGAGAATAATTAACATGAAATGGAAGATAAAAGGGTTGGGACCTCATAAAAAAAATCGATTTATAGTAATATTCGAGTTATCGTACTTCGAGTTATAGCGAATTGATTGTATTGTCAATATTCTTATGCTCTAAAAAATATTTGTATTGTTAACTTTTTTTAAATTTTATCAATTTGGAAATTACTTTTTATAATATCAATCTTAAATCCTAGCTAAAGCCAGTCATTGCAGAATTTTTTTTATTTTCAAAGGAAGGTGAAAAAGAAAAGAAAAAATCATGACCCTTTCTTCCATCTCCAGTATGCGAGGAAGGCATTTTTGAAAATAATTCTGCAATCTTTCCAAAAATTCTGCAGACAAAAAAAGCAAACTTTTTTGCTTCCCAAATAAAAAATCTTTCTGCAAGTATTCTAGTGTAAAGATAATGTCCCTGTGTTGCCATGATTCTGTCACGGGCATGCTATAAGTATTTTTCTTGATATCTCTGGCTCTTTGTTTATCTTATTAAATTATTCACATTACTTGCAAGTCCAATGCTTATTAGGAAAAACTTATTTTAGCATATTTCAGATAATATGGAAATGTTTTCTGAAAGACATAATTTTTTCCCTTCCCAAGAAATAATGTATATTTTGATAGCCAGGTGCAGACACATACAACTAATTTTTGAATTCATTTATTTGAAAACAAAATGGACAATTCCATTAAATAAATAAAAATATTTGAATTTATTTGTGCCTATCTAATGGAAAAATACCTTTTAAAAAAACTAATTTTAAAATTTTTATTTTGCAAACTAGTTCACCTAGTTTGTGTTAAAGAAAAATTTGCAAAAATCCTTTGTAAAGGTATCAAATTTGAAGTGTAGGCTATAAATGAGATTTTTTTAAAAAAAATAAAAGTTTAATGTTAATGAAGAAACCATGCTAGTGATAATCATGGGAAACATTGTTAATTAATAATTTAATATTATATTTGTTCTGCTGATTATTCACTGCCTGAATCTAAAATAAACTAGTTTGTACAAAATACATAACTTCATATATTCAAAATTTTATAAAACAAATTAAAATGTTAACTTTATACACGGTCAGGAAAACCTGCAAAAGTCAGGATATTCTAAAATTGAGCTAAAAAGTCAGGATTTTTCTTACATATTCATAAAGTTAGGCAAAAATAAAGTTTCAAGGAAGAATTCTGTAATTCAAAATATGTAATTTCCTCATAATAACATTCCTCTTTCCCTGGTAGAACCTGTCCTGTTAGCAATTTTCCTCCTGTTTATCCAATGATAAGGAATTTTTGATAGGGTTGCTAGGTTTATTGCTCTTTGTGTGAATAACTGATTTACAGACAACAGTAGCTGAAACAACAGCAGAAAAAGGAATTTTTACTATTTTGTGATGCTGCCAAAAAAAGAAGAGCAAAAGAGTTTCTTAGAGTTTAATCCACAGAAAAAGAGATTAGATAAATATTTGCACGGAGAAAAAAAAAATTGTTCTTATCCTCTCTCATGGTAACGTAACAGTCGAAGGGTTTTTTTTTCAATCAATAAAAGCTTATTAGTTGAAAACCACAAAGGCGTGTGTATGGTTATGTTTTATTTATAAATGGAATGAAAAACATAGGCATTAATGAAAAAATGCTAGATGCTGTAAAAGGATCTAGAACAAGATGGAGACGTGCATTAGAAGCCAAAGAAGAGAATAAAAAAGCTGAAATTTCTAGAAAATGAATAAAAGAAAAGATAGACGATTTGAAATTAAGAAAATCTAAATTGACGAAAACTGCTGCAACAGAACTGGATGTTCTTGATTCAGAAATTGTCACAACAAAATATGTTGAGAAATATTATATAGCATAGGAGCCCCTGAGTTTCTCCGGAAGCTTACAGTATTACGGAAATAAATTTAAAAATACTGAAGAAAAAAAAAGATATTTTTGATTTTATTTTTCTCACAAGTTGCATAATTTTTCTATCTGAATTTTTATTTGTATATAATTAACTTTTTTCCCCTTTATATTTCAATATTATCTTTTAAAAGAAAAGTCAGTTTGAAGTGAATTTGGTGATTTTTTAAAATTAATAACAATGTAACAAATTTTCTAGTATGTTTTAAGAGTAAATATTATTTGAGGGTACTGATACATATCTCGCAGATTTGAATAACCCTTTTTATCATGACGACACTCATGCATTTGGTTCCACTTAACATTAAATAAAATAATATTTCCATAATCCAACAGATTTTCTTGATCTTTTTATTTAAATAGTTTTCGTATCTAACTACAAAAACACACTAAAAATTTAATCTAATCATGATAATTAAAAATATGTTTCACAAGTTTTCTGAAAATATAATTTGGGCTAAAGTGCTATTATGCAATTCCACTTCAATATATAAGTGTTTATCCTATTCAATATATGATACATATGACTAAGTAGCATATTATTACTAATTGAAACTGCAATGTTAAAAGTTTCGTTGGAGTGGGAAACGGCGGGTCAGGAATTTTATTGTAAAAGGTCAGGAAAAACCTGTAAAAGTCAGGATATTGTTTTCCCAAAATAGTGTAGGAACCCTGTTATACTATGTTACATTTTTTATTTAATTTAGTAAAACTCAAAAGAAAAAGACATAAAATTCCCTGCCTTTTTTCCTTTTGCCATCCTGATATTAAGATACGAGAATCAAAATGACATTGCTTAAATATTGCTGTTTATTTTTTTATTTTATTATTCTATAAGAATTATGCAATATCAAAGTAAAAAACTTATTCTGAAATATATGTCGATAGGTCATAAATGAAAAAGAAAACAAAATACATGGCCTACAAAATTTTTATTTGCTAGCACAATAATTTTACGAAATATAATTGGATGCTACTAACAATAACGAGAAATCAGTATTTGTGGACACTATACAAAGCATAAGAATATATAAATACAATAAAAACTGAACTTTTAAATAATTTGATTCTAGTTTTATAAAATATAATTTTCAAAATCTATGTACAGCTACAGAATAAAAAATTAAAATTATCAATGCAATGTCGCACAGTCAATATGTACATCACGAGGAACGGCCAAAAATATTCACATACAATTGCCAAAGACCACAGGGATGTTCATTACAAATTTCCTCTTTATTTTTATTATTTTTTTCTCCATTGATTCCAGCCTAATCTAAATAAAGTAGAAAATTAAGAGTCACTTTGAAGTGGAGAAACATAACCTAACATGCTTCTTATAACCAAATACTTTATATTTTTATTTTAGTGTAAATGCTACTAAACACATTCAATGATTAGGATATATATCTAATGCTAAACGCGTTTATATGTAGATACTATATCAAGTTTAATAAATGATAATTTTTATAATCATTTTAAACTATTGATTTTATAATTGAAATTAGTCTCCAATATAAAAAAATTTTATTTTCATTTTAGGTATCTATTTTAACTTATCAAAATACACATAATTAGAAAAAATAGAAAGAAAAATATTATAAATTTTTTTGTAATAAATACAATATTTCTAGAAAAAACTTAATTAAAAGATACACAACATAACTAAAATGCTCATTAAAATACTATATTTGATTTGAAAGACTTCATTTCTTAATTTTCCTTACAATTAATTTCTTTCTTTTTATTTTCTTTAGAGTGGGTTAAAATTTTACTTAGCTAAAACTGAATAAAAAAATTATTGTAACGACTTGTTTCAAATCAGTAAATATAAGTTTAGTTGTATAATTTTAAATAAAGTATTGACCTATTACTGGGACACAACAAGGTTTTTGGAAAATTCATTACTTTGGATTGTTAACTAATTATTCATTGTTTAGATTAGGCTAGAATCAAATTATAATTAAAATATTCCTGTTACAAATAAAATAAAAAGATTGAAGAATTCTGATGATTTACATAAAACATTCACGAAACAGTAAATAAATAA